TGAGTCTTATTGGCAATGCAGAGTGCTTATCTGAGAGTTCTCAGACACGATGTTTATTTTGAGGCCAAAGTAAAAATCCATTACGTGGAGATCTTTGATTTTTTGTTTGTACTTGATATGAAAGCTAGCTAAATAAAAACTAGGTGTATGGCCATTCACGATATGTTTCATTGTGAAATAATGAATACTGACTGGGATTCGTAAGCATATTCATCTTTACTTATAGATTGCGCAAGGAGAGGAATTGGTTAATAACACATTTAAATATTGAGTGAAAGCAATGTGCTTAATGATTCAATTTACAGGCAAAGGGAAAAAAACCACGTAGACTCTCCAAAATAGACAAGGCACATACTACAATAGTGTTCATGTTCTTGGTTCTTTCGGTAAAGTCACGTAGATATAAAACAATCAAAATTCCAAGCAAAAAACCCACGACGTTTCGATCGCAACACAAGCGGTCTTCTTCAGGTCGCTTTTGTTGCGATCGAAACGTCGTGGGTTTTTTGCTTTTAATTCTTTTTTTGGTTTTCTATCTACGTGACTTTACCGAAAGAAACAAGAATATGAATTCCTGCAGCCACGAATGTTTTAAGTCAAAATTTACAACAGTGTTCATAAAAAAAACTACTTAGACACTCCCAAGATAAACAAGGCACATACTACAATACAGTGTTCATTAAACAAACTATTTAGACACTCCCAAGATAGACGAAGCACATACTACAATACAGTGTTCATTAAACAAACTATTTAGATACTCCCTAGATAAACAAAGTGCACACTACAATACAGTGTTCATTAAACAAACTACGTAGACACCCGAAGACAGACGAAGCACATACTACAATACAGTGTTCATTACACAAACTACTTAGACACCCCAAGATAGACGAAGCACATACTACAATACAGTGTTCATAGAAAACTACTTAGACACTCCCAATACAGACAAGGCACATACTATAATACAGTGTTCATAGAAAACTACTTAGACACTCCCAATACAGACAAGGCACATACTACAATACAGTGTTCATAAACCCAATTTGTATCAATGCGTTGTTTTTCAAAGTTACGGTAATGGTATTAACCCTTATATAATTATCATTTTGTAAAACATCATTTTTTGCATGTTATTTGATGATTCTGCATTGGTAGTGGTGCACAAGCGCAATAAAAAAAACGCTCATCAACAACACTTCCTTAAAATAAAAAAAATATATACAATCGGTGGCGTTTTGGCCAATTCCTCTTCTTTATAGCACACGAAGAAGGGCCATTTCTCGAAACGTCACCGACTACATGGTTTTTGGGCAGTTTTTTTATGAGTGTCTTAATGTTTGCATGGAGCATAATGTTAATCCAATTCACACATCGCCGCTCGAAATCATAACTCTCATCTGAAATTATCACAAATTAGCAGACAATTATTGTTCACAATAGTAGATGCTATGGCCACCCTCTCCCGCAGGGTTCCTTCACACACACACAATTGAATAAAGTTTTTGATGACTGGTTGCTAGGTACGGTCACAAATATTTTACACGGCCATTATTCTATTTGACCAGATACACGCACGGTATCATAGCACACTCGAAATGCACCGTCTAGAATAGATCATGAAACATTGTAACGCATGTAAACGGCACGGTTCAGATCTCACAATAGCTCAATTGGTTCGTCATTTGTGAGACACTTGGCACGTAGAAATTTTCTTCTGTTTCTCTGACTGCTCCTCACTATTTCCTCATATTCTACATAACGTGAACTCATGTTTGCTCTCTCCCTGACCCTCGATCTAAACCATGTGTCGGCAACCTGTGGCTCTTTGGCTACCCCTTGTGGGCAGTCTGTAAAAAGTTATCTTAAACAATTCAGATAATGTATCAAATGTGGCAGAGAATGGGTCACTGTGGAATGTATTGGTGACAACAAAATGTACAGTTGAACACTATTTTTAAAGAATAATTACGGGGGAAATAAATTAAATAGATGCAGTCTATTCCACCACATAATTTGTTTATTCAAGTCAGAATTTGTTTGCCATCTGCTGTATAACTGTTGCTGTGTTTGTGTTCAAGTGGCTGTGGGTGTCATGCGGCTCTCGAACTTTTTTGCTCAAAGACATTTTTTAATATTCTTTGAAAGGTTGTCGACCCCTGATCTAACATTTCCTTGATTAAAAATTTTCCCTTCCCCTCGCTTGTTCCTGGAATCTAAATTAAATTCCTGTAAATATGTGTCGGCAAATGCGTTGGCTTTTTTGACCGACCATTCTTTCACGCTGCAACAATCTTAATAAATAAAAACCCCACTACGTGCAGACTTCAATTACCCCAAGATAATTTTGGACGGGCCCGACCAAAGTACTGCAGTAGAACGTTGCATGTCCGACAGTCACATATCTACTATCACCCAGTGCAGAATTTGTACACGATGTCACTGTCATTTTCTATGCATGTTCACATATCCGACGTTTTCCCATATCCGATAAATACCCCACTCAAGTTCCCTGCCTGTCAGATATGAGACGGTTTTACCGCACTAAAGTAAACACTAAGATTGGGCAAGACAGAAAAAAGTACGTAGCTTAAATATTGCATTGTAATATAGCAAATTCCCTTATTCTCTTTCCAATGCCCACAGTACTGAATAAACTACACACTGCCATACGCTTAGCTCCAGCCTAACTGAACAACAACAGTGTGGTTAATGTGTCTTGGAGGAGAAAAAAACCCACACACACTCGTTTGCAACTCAAGATTGTCAGAGGTGAGTCTCAAAGGCAACGCGCTACAGTGGGTGCTGTGCGTGGCCTTTCGGTCCACATTGCGACACAATTCTGCCGACTCGAACCAGCCCGTCGGTGGCCAAGACGCAAACACGAAACAGGTTTTCAACCAGAATCATCGCAGTTCAGATGCATTTCGTCTTCCACTTCGATGTACACATTCGTTCGCGATGGAGGAAAGGTTACTGAATTTGCAGCCGCGTACATAATGGGGCATTCCAAATCAAATTCTCCAGGGTGAACCATTTTATGGGTATGTCTAATCCGTGACTGCGGGGTGGAGTGGTTAGCCAGTGCACAACATATCCGGCCCTAAATGAGTTTGATTCGATTCAGAGCCACGGCTAACATCAGTGGCGAGCGATACACGAGCCAATGCTGCGGGGCCCTCGTTCGTTAAACCGCACTTGATCACCACAGCCAATACCAATAATCCCAACATTCGCCGTGGCATCACCACGGCGTCTGTGCCAGGCTAGGTGCACTTTGAGGCCACGTGAACAGACCCAGCAGGTGCCACGAGTCGACAGAGATGACCGGAAGAAGCACCACCAGCTGGACCCCCTCTACTATTCCAACTTGCTTCCTTTTACCCGCCCGGCGTTCCGCTCGTTGTTGTGAGCGTCGCTCCTCCACCCTCCGTTGTTGCTGGAGGGTGACTGTCCTCCACCTGCCCAGCAGCGTCCTCCACGAGCCTCCTCCAACGGAGGTCGATATTGACACTGCTGGTACCGTCGGCAAGTCGTCCACTCAGCCCCACGTCCTCCCCCTACCGCATCAGCTCCATCTCTTCTCCAGCCCGTGTCGTGCCCCCCTCGATGCGGTCAAAACAGAAGCTGCTTGAACTCCCCATGCCTGACCGACAAGACATGGGGAGTCCTTCATCCAGCAATGGAGTCAAGGATATAATTAATGTATGAAAAATAAAAACAATGAATGGGAAAGGGGAGAGAAGATAAAGAATGGGAAACCAGAGGAAAGAGATGTAAATGCTTTAATGTTAGACCCACATGAATCAAACAATGCTGTATTCAACTACACTAACAATTGGTGTAATTTGTTTAATTTGCAGATCCAGTTAAGTGAGAAGATATGCTGCAAATGGTGATGGTGCACGTTAACCAAATCAATGTTTTCCTCGCTCAGCCATAGAGTCAGTGAAATCAGTGACCAATTGTTTCTGATGGGATTAGGAGGTAAACACAATGATGAATGGAGAGCCCTGTTTGTAGCGTGCATGTGACTGCCTTTGTAGCGATTAGTGAAAGGTTGGTCTGGTTTAAAGTGGCGAATGTTATGGTGCGACAGGATAAGTTTGATACGTAGCTCCTGTAGAACACTACTGCAATAATGGTCGGTAGGCTGTAATACGTTGTAAGATACGCTGAACGTAAGAACCAAACACAACATTAAGTATAATGTGGTACATATTTGCAGACATGTACTTTTCAGCTGAAGTAATCATAGAAACGCACACGTCTTGACCTACTGACAGCCATATTATACGTGAGGAGTCTCCAAAACAAACACCTCTGTCATCTTTAATCACTAAAGGAAGCTTGATATAAAGCCGCATGCTTCGGATAAGATACACTAATATGGACTACCCACAACTAAAGTGTGTTGTTTTCATTTTGGGAGATTATCTATGGTTTTTAAAGGCCAGTGTCAAATATTATTGACATCACATTAAATGCAGCTGAACACAGAGCCGCAGGAAACAACTTTAAAAAAGTAACTCATCGTTTAAACAAATCGAAACGTCGTACTCAAATGGTAAATGTTGTGAATTTACTCTCCAACACACCGGTCGGCTGAAGTAGTAACTAATTGGCACTTTTTAAAATATGACTAACCTTATTGGTTGGCTGTATCGGGTAGTAGCGGGTTAATGCCAAATGTATCTAACCCAAAAGCCTTTTATATATAAACAAATACAACACTGTACTACGTACTGATACGACTACTTCACGACAGTACTAGTACAGGACTGATATTTTTAAAAAGCCTATCAAGACATCATGATACACAAAAGCAACACATTACATATAAGACATCTGAGAACGTTTTTGTATGACCTTGTTTGATTATGTAGGGTACACTGGTAGGTTTAATAATTAGCAAATCCCAGTTTGATCTTGATTTGACCAAGCAGTCTGCCATATGATGGAATGGAGAGATAAAAAAACACCACTTGTAACAGCGCTTGACAACAGGATATTTCGGCTCAATCTTCTGTCGTGCGCATCCATTTGTTTAGAGTAATTGGTCTTCTAATTACTCAGTCTGACACTTCATTTCCCTGCCAATTGTAGGGTTTTTTTTTAAATGATCAAATATATAAATAAGTACAATGGAATTAACACAGGCTCTCAGCTATATTTATAGACTGCAGTTAGTCGACTTATTTCAAGCGTTCCAAACAGAAAGAGCAGGTTTTAGAGGGTTTTAGGTTGCGCTGGATCTGGCTGGATTTTCAAACAATACCACGAGCTGTTGTCGACTCAACCCGAAGAGCTTGCAGAGAGGGCTGCTTCTCAGACCACAGGACCTGTGTGTATTTTGCAGTCCCTGACAAGGGACGGCACTTGCGGCACACTGGGCTGCAATGGCCAAGGACGTGCTATCATGGTTCACCGTGGCCTGCAAACTGCTTGGGATCTCCACTGCTGGAGGTAAGTGTATGTTACCCGTAAATGGTTCCACTTGTAGCTTTTAGTCAACAGACTTTATACTGTTTGCAAATTGATATGTTGGATATCCAGCAATGTGCGGACTTTGATATCGAAAGAAGGTCACAGTGCTATTTGCATGGCCATGCCACCACTGCTTGCCCCTTTACAATGAGTGACAAGGTCTATACCCTGTATATTTGAAATGTACCCCAAGAGTAGTATGGTATTGTAGTGAAATAGGTAAAGCACTTTAATCCACCAGTAACAGTATATTAGTGTTTTATCCACTCGTAATATGGAATGTTTTTTTGCTGTACTGTAATGGAAATTATTCAGTTATTGTTTAATGATATCTCAACAGTAAGTATTTAAAATGGCCTGTTGAGATTGATATGACGTGTATTTTTTTTTACATAGCACAATTATGAACTGAGTGAGTTACCGGGCTGATGGAGTGACATACTAAATCACGCTGTTCGCAATGGCAATCACTAATCGCCATAGCGATTGCCCCATTAAAGCCAACCCTTGGGGTTGAGCATGTGAAAATTAAACATTACTAAGGCACCAAACAAATCGTGGAGTTAAGCTTGATAATTAGGAGGAATTCACAGTCACATTCCAATCGGTTGCATAACCCTGTGTTAAAGGAATACTGTGCATTCGAATAAGCAAAGTCTATTTCGCCCAGATGTTGGTATTAGTTGTGTTTAAAGTAACACGAAAACACACAAAGTGGTTTATCATAGAGTAAACCACTGTAGTTATGCATAATCAAATGGAGTAATAGCTAAACTACACGCACTGTCTCTCCTGAAGCCCTCTCGTAAACAGCAGAACTAAACATTGGCCTTTAGCTCCTGAACATATTGCAATGAGCAAGAATAGAATAGAACTGGGAAATGAGGCGAGAATTGTTATCGTGTTAGCGAATGTGTATGTTACGGTATGTTAACTGGATGTTATTCATCCAACGACTAACAACTTTGGAAAATGTTGTGATTAATGTTGGCATACCACTCTATTAGAGTCCATGTCCTTTTTAACCATATCCTCTTTTTAACCATATTCTTGTTGCAATAATTCTGGGACAGTCACCATGTTCATATAAGCCTTCAGTTTCCTGTGATGTTTATTATTATCTTGTCCCTTGCTTCCCCAAACTCTCTTCACGATGACGACTTACAATGTGTTCCTACCAATCATTATGGCACACTGGCACCACCTACATTTGTACCATAATCGCAAATAGTGAAATAATAGGTGACCTTATTGTTTTCATTACTTGATGGCACCGCACATAAGATGTACAGTCCCTTGTTCAGCTATACAATATAGCAACGTTATTACCTAACGTGTTCACAGTTGCTAATATTACATCTCCAACATTTGCATCAGGCCATTTCTCAGAGGTGGCAAGAGATGAAAGGCTTCTGCAACATGAAGGGATAATGGGTCATGCATGACAGAGTTTGTTGCTGTTATTATTCTCAGTGGAACTTCCATTTCAGGAATGTTCAACCTCCTGTCTCACTGCTGTCGCCATTCCTTATACATGCTGTCTTGACAGAATACAGTATTACAACAAACCACGGTGGAGGACTGTCGTTTAAAATATAATAGCAAGTGAAATATTTTCAGAACATGTTAGGATATAAGGAGTTTTCTTTCTGTTGGAACTTTTTTTTAACACCCAAATACTGTTCTGTATTCATGATATGAAGGGTACTTTAATGTTCTGCTGCCTTTTAAGGACATGTTATTAAAGTGTCACATTAAGACTAGCGTATATTATATGCGTAGTTTGCAAAAAAAAATCTACTCCTATTTACTGAAACGAAATGCGTATTCAGAAGGTAAAATGCTGAATCGTTTGCTTACGCGACTAGCAAAAAGTCCTCCACTAGACGGAGCTCTAGAAAGCCCCCTCTAGAAGGTATTTGGCATACTATTCCACACTGGCCAAATGTCATGGAATAAGTGGTAAAACCCACAATTTACTCCACGACATCATGTGAATTGCCGATTTGAATAACTGTGGTGTACACACCGGGGTGGTGATGCGGCCCGATGGTAACATGTTGCAGAGCTTCACGGTTCAAATCCAGTGGCCACCCTGGTTAACACAGCAGATGTATTAACAGTAACAATAGGAGCCGTCTGGTTCACAGACGCTAAAAATCATATGATGTCATTCACAAGAATAGGCCCCTGTGTGCTAGCGTCATGGTCCAAATGTTCCACATTTTATAAGTTACCTGCAAATTATTCAGTTGGATTTATGCTCTACGTCGCAATCATTACCCACTATTGCAAACACTTTGTAGGACCCTCTCGAAAAAATCATGAGACTCTGGCTTTCCTGGATAAACAAGCTTAATAATAATAATGTTTAACATAACGTTCATATTGCTGGGTGGACAGAGGCTGAGGGGATTTAAAAATATTGCACCATTATTTCAACTGCAACTCTGTGGAATGGAACCAACGACCTCTGGATTACAACTCCGTTGCACTAACCATTATACACGACGACAAGGATATTTATAAAATATATATATGGAGATAAAATACAACTCTTTACCCCGAACACTTACAAAACCAGTGGTGTCTCCATAACTGGGGAAATGTCCCCAAAACACAAAAGACACAGTCAATGGGGCTTGAAACATTTTTCGTTTCCCCAACAATTTATTTTTCAAATGCTGTTCTGTGATCACTTGTGATCAGCTGTCTCGATGCAAGCACATTACATAAGATGTTACAGACGAATGACTTACATTGTGCTGGACTGCATTGGTCTATGGTTACAGTCCTGTGGGCAGTGGGGATCGAAACATCTCTGGACGGGACCCATCCTGGACTGGCTGTCTACCTGCTGTAAGTGTTTTTGCATATTTAACATTTCGCATATTTAACATTTTGTCGTCATTTTTGTATTACTTTAGTATAAATACATGTTCATTTTGATTCATATGTTGTTTTTTCTGACTTTAATGTGAATGAAAATACACAAATTCGCCCATTTTCTCATTAAAAATGGGTAAATTTCAAAATATCACTGTCCTGGTCACAAAAGCAAAGTTTGTGGGGAATAATTGCCATTTTCTATACTTTTCGGCATAAGCAATTTCGAAATAACACTTACTACCCAGGAACAAAAATTGTGTTACATAGTGCTATGTGTCATGTGCGTCGCTTATGCACACCGTGATTACTTGGTTTAACACGTCGGCTTTCGCGACCAATAATCATAATAAAGGTTTTTGGGTGAGATCGCGTAAGTATAAATGTGTCGTAACCCGTCACTACTTCAGCCCACCTCTATTATGGACCGTGATTACTGACTAAGCCTCCTATTGGCTATTACGTATGGGGAACTTCTTTCGCACCGTACTTATCGGAGTTGCGTTTAGAATGTCACCCCATTACATTTTGAGTGAAGAGATTGTGCAACGAAAATTTTAATGTCAAAAATACACAACACACCGAAAGTGATGCACATGGTGTAAAGTTGGCTGATTTCATTGCGTATGTGATTCCGCTTTAATTTCGCATGCTGTAGGTTTCTGAAAATAGAAGGAATAAAGGATTTTTTTTTGCATGTGAATTCTCATAGTTTCATGAATTCAGTTCAATCGGTATAAATATACGAGTCACCTTATTGGCGTAACAAATATTTGCAAGTACTGTGTACAATTGCAGAGTGCTTCATATGACATTATTTAAATTACTTATCTTTACCCAGTATAGTACTGGAGTAAAATACTATTTTTGTGAAGCTCATAGACGAAAGAACCTCATTTAATGTTTAGTTACGAGGGACATTTAAAATATGCGATGACATTTATTATTTTAATAACTTATTCCCATACTCTCGTTGCAACAGATGTTTCATTGGAATAGTATTGTTAGTAAAAAAAAACATTCATATACAAAGTAAATAAACATCTACAATAGTAAGAATGATTGGAACGTTCCAACTGTTAATGAACTCCTCCCATCCATGTGTTAAAGGATTTCTGCCGTGGCCATAACATTTCTGGAAACGGCTTACCTGGTGGATAAGTTTATTATGGCATGCTGCAGGTAAGAAACAATTCCTGTCGATTATGTACCTTTGTCAAAATCTTTGTTTCTTACAGTATGCAGAGTTTTGTTCATGATAAGTTACACATTTTTTAATCATCAGGTTGCTGCTTTAGTGAACGTATGCGTAAAGTAAGAGGTTAATGGATAATAATATATATTTTTCCTGTCACTGAAAGGGAAATAAGTTATGGACGCTTTGGATGACTGACCCTCTGATGTATATCCTGATGGAGACCAGTTGATCAAATCGTTCTGAGACATTCATTTCCTCACAGTGAGAGTATTAAAAACCTGCTAATGACATAATGTTGCAAAATTGTATCATACTTGGGTTTGGACTGTAACCCGGGTCTCCCTTGAGAAAGATACAGGTTCTTACCTGATGTAAATAAATAAAGGATATTACTTCAAAGTTCACTAAGGCACACTGTTATAACCTTATAATGCATCGTCTTTTCTAAAATGTACACGTAATATGTAAAAAAGGTGATCCACATTAGCATGCTTATAAATAAATCTACACCCTTGTGACCAAGCTAGAGTAAACATCCTTAGTGCACTACAATCCATGAATAACCCAGGAACACTTCAATGAGTCTCAAAGCTCTTTTTGAGTACATTTAGAATGTGTTTAAAATAACGTTTTTTTGAATACAACAGGGACCCAATAATTGTTGAAACCCACGCGTTATGGGATAAAACTAAATATGCAATACAAATCAATTTATTAACACGCAAGCTGTACTGCCATTTCCGAGCCATATCACAGCCCAGCAGGTTTAATATCACACCAACACGTGAAAAAAACTCTCCCCCCACCTCCGTGGCATTCAATCATTTGGCCACATCTGGCCAAAGCTTATCGACGCAATGTCCAGCAAATCTAATGCTCATACAATAACGGGGCGTTGGTGACTGTGCAGTCCTGACGGCAGGGCGGTGCGGGTGTGGAAGAAACTGGCGTGGCTGGACTACTGCCAGAGGTTCCTGCTGTACGGCCTCATGTCAGTCGTGTGCTTCCTGCACCCTGTTGCTGTGTGGCTGGCCACAATCCCAGGTACTCTCCTCCAGCAGATAAAACACGGTTGTTATATTGTATTTGTATCGGCCTCGTAGTACCGTGGAGAGAGCACTGGAGCAAAAATAAAAAAACAGGATGGTGCAATGTAATAAAGTTGGGGCACACAATTGCGTAATTTCTAGGAAATGCGTCACCATCGGAATGGATGTTTGTCCAATACCAGCTATAGCTTCCTGAGCACGGATAGCGACAAGCAGAACAAAATGCGAATAACAGCCTGAACCCAGGCACCAACCCAAGTTTGAGTGGCCAGTGTACAAGTATGTACACCACTGCAGCCACGCTGTGTAAGGTGGTACCATATACCTTGTGCTTGACAGGTCGCAATTTCAGGAATAAATAAAAACTGGACACATTTGCCAATGGCACTGCCATAAATGAGAAAAATATATCTAAAAGGCAGGGTAATGGCCCTTTTTCATAGCAGATGGAGACCAGAGATTAAATTAATAACTGGAGACCGCATGATACACCATGGGGCATTTAAATAAAAATGTTAAGAATGCTTCTGGATTAAGTCAAACTGATATACTCTTTGGTTCTTTTGGTAAAGTCACGTAGGTATAAAATAAATCACGACGTTTTGGGCGCAACACAAGCGTCCGTCATCGCTTTTCCACCTGATGACGGACGCTTGTGTTGCGCCCGAAACGTCGTGATTTATTTTCTTTTTAAATCCTTTATATTAAGTTGGCTTGCTTGCGTGCTTGCTTGCTTGCTTACGACCGTGCAAACCTTTCGGTCGTTTTTTAACCCACTTCCCGTGATCCAATCGAGCTGACATTTTGCACACAGACTCGTTGTGCGAGACAATTAATGTTCGTGAAATTTTTTTTCCAAAATTTTACACTGTTTAGGGAAAACAAATTAAATATTTAATTACCAATTGTTTAATACTGCAGACAATCATCTGACCCATAGGTGGCAGCCATCTCAAGCCAGAGGACGAGAGGACTCTAGCCGCCACGCATATAAAGGATTTAGAGTGAAAAACTTAGTTTTTACGGGTTATACTTATTAAATCCTTTATATTAAGTTCGCGTGCTTGCTTGCTTGCTTAGGACCGTGCAAATCTTTCGGTCGTTTTTTAACCCACTTCCCGTGATCCAATCGACCTGACATTTTCCACACAGACTCGTTGTGTGTGACAATTAATTTTCGTGAAATTTTTTTTCCAAAATTTTACACTGTTTAGGGAAAACTAATTAAATTATTTAATTACCAATTGCTTAATACTGGCAGACAATCATCTGACCCATAGATTGCAGCCATCTCAAGCCATAGGACGAGAGAACTCTAGCCGCCACGCATATAAAGGATTTAGAGTGAAAAACTTTGTTTTTACGGGTTTACTTGTTATTAAATCCTTTATATTAAGTTCGCTTGCTTGCTTAGGACCGTGCAAATCTTTCGGTCGTTTTTTAACCCACTTCCCGTGATCCAATCGAGCTGACATTTTGCACACAGAATCGTTGTGCGTGACAATGCATTTTCGTGAAAAAATGTTTCCAAAATTTTACACTGTGTAGGGAAAATTTTGTAAATATTTAATTACCAATTGTTTAATGCTGCCAGACAATCATCTGACCCATAGGTGGCAGCCATCTCAAGCCAGAGGACGAGAGGACTCTAGCCGCCACGCATATAAAGGATTTATAGTGAAAAACTTTGTTTTTACGGGTTATACTTGTACCTCCATGACTTTACCAAAAGAACCAAAGAGTATGGATTCCTGCAGTCACGAACGTTTCAAATCAAGATCAAACTGATATGTGAAGAGTTACCCCAAGTTTAGGAATGTTCACGTCAAAGCATTATCTATCTGCAATAAAGAAGGGGAATTGGCCAAGGTTTAGGTCAGTGCTACTGACAAAACGTCTGGAGTATCTTTGTAATTTGTGCACAACTGCAAACGCAGCATCACAGACGTTTTGTTTCACTTTTCAGGAATAATGTTGATCGCCAGTGGCACGGCATACCTCGCCCTCAGCTACAAGGAGCGAATTCGCAAGTCGTTCACAAAGGGCACGCCTCGAGGCGACCACACCGACACTCGCTCGACATCGACGGCGTCGGTGGTGGGAAGACCAAATGGCAGCGAGCAGATCTTCACGTTCGAGTCAGAAGCTTGGCAGCCAGGAGGGCGAGCAGAGGAAACATCTCACAATCGACTCGGCTCCCATGGGACCATCCGATAAGTCGGAGGACATGATGGAGAAACGATCTGGGACGACGACGACGACGACGGCGGCTGAGGAAGCAGAACAATCAGAAGCGCGTGCGGTTCGAGACTCTGCACGAAGCTGCGGAGCAGGAGGAGGTGGAGCCCTCGGTGGGCAGCTCGGCCGAATTCGTCACCTCCGACACGGCCCCCATACTCGCTCGGGAAAAATGAAACGAACGTTGTTCTTTGGCCGGAAAACACGCGCGAATGTATTGTTGAAGTTCATACTCTTCGGTTCTTTCGGTAAAGTCACGTAGGTATAAAAGAAAATAAATTAAATCACGACGTTTCGGGCGCTTGTGTTGCAGATGATGACGGACGCTTGTGTTGCGGCCGAAAATTCGTGATTTACTTATTTTATTTTATACCTACGTGACTTTATCGAAAGAACCAAAGAGTATGGATCCCTGCAGTCACGAAAACTCATAATCTAGATTGTATTGTTGAAGTTTATACTCTTTGGTTCTTTCGGTAAAGTCACGTAGGTGGAAAAAATAATAGATCACGACGTTTCGATCGCAACAACAAGCAACCTTCTTCAGGTGAGAGAATCAGACTGCTGTGGACGAGGTATTAATGCCTAAGGGACTTAACTTGCCTCGTCCGACAGCAGTGTGATTATCTCACCTGAAGACGGTCGCTTGTTGTTGCGATCGAAACGTCGTGTTCTATTATTTTTCTACCTACGTGACATTACCGAAAGAACCAAAGAGTATGGATTCCTGCAGTCACGAAAGCTTCAAATCTAGAACTAATATACTAAAAACAAATTTAAACATGTGTTTTGAAATGTCCAATATGTAGCTGTAACTGGGCACTATTTGTCTGTTCCCACGTATTGGTTACATGCCCCCACCAAGATTGTTGAAGTTTCTTTTGGCGGTGCTGGGGAAAAAAAATGTGCGTAGCCGCTGTTGTGTGCAACTTGTGTGTGAATGGTTGTGCGTGCGTGAAAACCGCATGAACGGAAAGTCGTTATCAAGTCGAATGCAGGACTAATTTGGACAACGGACGATATGTGAAAAGGATTATCATTTGTATAGTCAAACAATAATTGACATTGTAACGCATATACTTAAATAATAAATTTTCTTACATTTATAGTCAATACATATGCAGTCAAATGTCCTGTTGGATTGCAGCTTATACAGCTGCAATATTTGTACAGTACTGTAATGCTTATTCCGTGGAGTTAAAAGTTGTAAAAAATTAGCAAACGGTAAAATAAAGAGCTGAATATAGTTTGCATTTTTAAAAGCCTTGTATAAAGCATGCTGAATCCACTATTTCAGGGGTGGAGGAACATTTGTTCTGCCAAGGGCCATTTGGATATGTATAACATCATTCGCGGGCCGTACAAAATTATCAACTTAAAAATTAGCCTGTTATATTCGGTCAAACATTTAATTAACTCACCCCTAATGCGATGGACTGGAACTGCTTCTCTTTGGCGAGGCGTGGGGTGATGTTAGCTGGCTATTGATGATGTTGCTACTCGCAACTGCTTTTCCAGGTTTGCTCCGATAGATTTATTGAATTTCGAGTCCCGCCTGCGGTTTCCCTGCCAGGGCCACACCAAATGATTTTGCGGGCCTCATACGGCCCGCGGGCCGGACGTTCCCCACCCCTGACTATTTAATTTCAACACCATGACCTGTGGTTGCACAAAGGGACTTAACTTGCAGCGGTTTTATGTAAACAGCTTTTTAAATCATGTTCACCTTAATGGGGTTCTTCTGTTTATGTAATGGTGCAATGTGTATCAAGATTTGTGTGCTTGATGCTATTAATAATTGTATAAGACAAATGTAAACGTATTATGTTGCTGTTAAGTACAGTAGATATATATACGAATGTTTTGATGCGTGTTTATAAACTTCGCTTTGGTGTCAGATATGGAACATCACAACATTTTAGCATTACGTGATAGATATAGCACAATTAAATAATGATGTTAGTGGGGTTTTTTTAAAATCAATAAATGCTCATTTTCGATGCGGAAACTGGTTACAAACGTGATGACTCAACAAAGAGCAGTCACCCAAAGATTAAAATGCCTTTGCGAAGCTGGCAATGTTACGAAGAGATAATGTATGATCTGTGATGAGCAATTAATAAAATGCTCTCACCGTTGCAGTCTGTGACACTGCATGAAACCTGTAAATAACAAGTGGAATAAGAGCTGATCAGTCAAGGGGATAAGGCATTATAGAATGATTTGAGATATGTTTTACTGTGTAAGACTTTTCAATGTTTTTTTTATAAATGTGAACACATCTACAAAACTTACCCTCGCAGTGGAAGTGTTATGAACTCTCGGGCAAGAAACACACATCTGCTTTTAATTGAATTAAAACTGTAAACTCGACACCAGTGTTCTTATTCATATTCTTGGTTCTTTCGGTAAAGTCACGGAGAAGGGAAATAATAAAATAATAATAATTAAACAAATAAACATAACCAGTGCTCTTCACTCATTTTCAGAGGGTAGGGGGGGGGGGCCCTTTCGCCAATGAGACATCATCAGTGCGAGGGCCGCCACACATTTGAAACCATTGGTGGGGTTGACAGCACGATGATGATGGTGGAGGTGTTTTTCACCTTTGGATATTGTCCGGTGCCGCACTAAAGGCCACTAGAGGTCGCCAGTAGCCAATGAAGAACATCGCAAGTAGACATCGACCCGACAGGATGAATGGAACACGGCAAGCCATACGGAGTAGCGTATCATAAATGGTTTTGTAAAAGGCGTTATAGTTTTATCATACATTACCTATGGAATGACCTTGCTTGGCCACCCAGCTCACTTTTAGCATTAAAATATACCGAAGCTGGTCCAGGACTGTAAGAGCAATGACGCCTGTAGACGAATGTAGCGCATAGATATGTAATATTTTACATGTTTATTAATGGTGTATAATATTTTCTAGACAAGCATTGTAATAAGATAGGTTTGTATGGTGTTTTCCTCGGCTTACTTTACTTCAGGTGTGTCCACGTCACACGTGCATTTTTGTGATGTTGAAATAAACTTTAAATGTTACCATTGACAAAAGCATGAAAATGCTTAAGTACATTACGTGTCGTCTTGGCATGAAACAACACTTGAGTCATAAATTGTGACATTTCAAATACCTGTTATTTTAAACCGCGTGATAAAGTGCTTCAATCGTACTGGCATGTCACTGGTGTTGGACGTAATGTTAGGAACATTTGGTTGAACATTTTCTTACCGTTTTCTGTACCTCATCAACCGTCCAGCAGAAGAATATATAGTAAATGGATATGCATAAAACATATGGACGATTCACAAAAGCAAGGACAATGCCTTTCACACACACACATACCACACTTAAGACATCATATTAAGCAATTCACTTAAATTGCCCCTGAAGATGTGACACTGTTTGGGGTTAAAATAACGTTATATTTTCTAGTTTTTTGGCTTCTTCTTTCAACAATTGTACTGTTAAAAAAAACAAATTGATCATCACAATAATTGTAAGCATGCAGGCGTGTTTATTAATAAAATGGCAATACAATTGAATCAAATATGCACCAAATATAAATGAAAATCAAATGATTTTCCAGCTAACAAAATACCAATGTGAATTGACTATAAAGGCACATGACATTTGTCCAATGCATGACTTGACATAATATGGCAGAATACATTTATACTAATATTTTGAGCACACTTAAATGGGAAAATGTTATACTGGATGGCACCAATAAGTTCGGCATTCACAAGACAGCTGCTTACATTCCATCTGCCATCATATCAACTTAAGTCAACCTTTCAAATGTGCATTTACACAAAAGTATCAGCAATCCTTTACAATTGCTGGAAGCCGACTTGAGATCGAGAACATATAAAGAACCCCCTAAAATGTAAGTGTTGAGAAACAGCCAGTGTAGTGATGAACTCGCTAGCTTAACTGTAGAAATAAACTGGAGGAAAATATGACGTACATCACGGACATTTAATGTTACGTAACCAACACTTGGGCAGGATTGTGTATTTTGGCTTACACGATTGAGACTGATGTGGCTGAAAATGTACAGTTTTCTATTTAAAAGTGTTTTTACCCACTTATACCTGTTAAGCTATACTTACTACATTAACAATGTCCTCATATGCACCAAAACTACTAAGATCAGTCAACTGAAAATAATTCCACAAGAGCTGCGGGAGTGGCTCATGCATTTTACCTTGTACACCACACATCATTAAAAAATATAGACTATACTGTAAAGTTGTATACACTTACTCATGATTTTCTACAGAAGTTAAATCTAGAACATTGGCTCAGAAGTGATATTACAATTAATGCAAATATGGGAGGGGAATTGTTTATAGATTATACACTGTTGATTGACAGTTCAACATACCATATTTTGTTTTATCTTTGAATGGTTGCTTTTGGATTACTGCTGATTCATATGGCCACTCATTTGACTTGGCAGCTAAGTGTCGTGGGATTAAATTAATGTTTATACCATTGGAGCACAAGATATTTGGTTATAGTAACACGCTATGTATAAACATTCATATACTGTACATACATTATACAACACTATATATACACATGTCTACGTTTTGAGAATGGGATGTTAATTAAATATATGCATTTATATTCCGTGTAATTCACAGGACTATGACCAAATTATCCAGAATGTTTCGGATTTTGTCAGACCTCAAGATTGTTTTAGTGTGGGCGAGTGCTTGGGATCTGCGACCACCATGCACAGCAGGCTGTTACGGGCAGCGGGATATGCAGTGGGCAGCAGAGGGCAGCGCAACAAAGATCCATTGTAATACTCGATACTCTCACACGTGCGCTAACCACCTTCACCAATCTGCACTGACCAGCATGGTGAAGTATGGTCAAATAATCTCCACAACCCACAGTGTGGAGCCCATTATCCAGCAGTGTATTGACAAAGGGCTGTATGTTATAAGTATTGCCCAATAATAATACATGTGCTGTCGTTTACAAACCGATTAGAATGTAAGTGGCTTGAAAATAAGCACCAAACAAGTTGATGTATATTCTTGATTCTTTCTTTCCCTTCTACGTGACTTTACCGAAAGAACCAAGAATATGAATCCCTGCAGTCACGAAAGCTTTAAATCAAAATTTAAGTTGATGTATATATTTAAAAAACACTTTTCTTAGCATCTCATTCTTAAAACATGTTGATACACGGTACATATAGAGTAGATTATTCAGTGAGTTAGCTTCAACTAAACCAAAATTACCACGATACAATAAAATATCGAAATTTAGATAACAGATTGTACGTAGTTATCCCACACCGAATTAATATTTTATTTCATAAGCGTTCATTAGATACTCGTAATGGAAGTTCATCCAAGAAATATAATGATAATGTTATTGCCATTGATTTTAATATCATTGGTTACCGCATGTATCTGCAGACAATTTGATTCAACTTATTTAAAACTCATTTGTCACAATATAGGTTCACATGATAAATGGCATCTACATTAATGAAGACACGAGAAGTAGCATTCCACGTTGCAACCGAAAAAAGTATAATTTCAATATGCACAATTAGTTAACGTTAAAATTTAAGCTTAATCAATGAGTGGAGTGTTTTGAATTATAATAAAAAAAATACTTTTGATTTGCTATTCTTGCTAACGTTTGGAATCACTTTGCTGAAGTTAAAGGCAATAATCATATTTGGAATTGGTCAACAATTTTTCATGTTATATTTCCCCCTTTACAAATCATAGGCACATTAACCAACTGTTGTGGCCATCTTGTATTTATTTTGGAATTTGGCACGGGAAGGATACGATTAATTTAAAGATACCGGTGGCACCTTTAAAACACTAATTTCAATGAGGTCATGTGAATGGTTCAACAGTAGTGCTGGCATTTCATTAGGCTATTTGCAGTCATATTGGTTACAATGACATTAGCTATAGCCTGTTAGTGTATGTCCTGGTTGTGAATATTCTATTAACGCATAGAAGCATTTGTCATGCGCGTGTACATTTGTATACACAGTTGCTCAAGAGTAAATGTGTACCTGTGATCAATGTGTGCGTGTCAGAGTGTTGCAAGACATCATTAGTTCATGCCCACTATGGCCACCAGGATGCGCTTGTAATCGCCGCTCGTGTCCCCCTGGATCATGGTGTACAGGGTTTTCTGGTACTGCTGCAGGAAGGCTTGTTTGATGTCTTGCAGGTCAATCTGCAGGAATAAAGTCAGAATAAATTCACAAAAATATTTAATATAATTGTCGTCACTTATATTTAAACTACGTTTCCAAACGAGTGCATCTCAAACCAACCCCGGTGGCAGCTGTCCCTGTGAGGAGGGTGAACGCAGCACCAGTGAATCAATTTGGCATTTGGGCAGTTGGGGCGATAATTTGCTATGTGGCTTCCCAATTAAGTAAGTTGTGAGTAATTTAACCCATCTCTTCTCCCAGGCACATACTACTGCTACTTCCTGCCCCCCCCAACTACGACTACAGGCCAACCCCAAGCATTCTCTAACCTCTCCAGCCTCTTTCTCCTGTCAACATAACGACACCACCACTATTAATATCCCCCCACTAACAATTGCTGAAAAGCGCCTTGGAATAAGACGCTATTAATGTATATCTATGTAAGATGTTCTGCTACGAGGAATGTATTAAAACTAGAGCTGGGCTCACTATACGAGTTGACGTGCCGCTCACCTCACTGCGAGAGACGATGACACGGATGAGCCCAGAGTCGTCGGTGCCGAGCCCCTTCATGGAATGGAAAAGCCTCTCGGCAAAGTACGCCGGCCGGCTGCGCACGCACTGGACTGCAGACGGAAACACAGGGTGCAGCGAGGTTAACGAGTGCACCCTTCAGGAAATGTAGCTTATTGTTACTCGTATTATGCGATGCGTTACTACGACAGAAGGTTGTGTACGGTGCTTTACCAATAGCTCTCATGCCGTCACGAATATCACCAGAAAACTCCCGGTCAATCGTGTTCACAATGTCACGTTGCGCCATCTGCAAAGAGCACAGGTAAATAAATACTTCATTTGTATTTGCAAGTCATTGCTAAAGAAGGAATCTTTACCTTTTTTAACCGTTACAAGACAACAATGGACAGAATGTACACATTATATGCCTTGCTAAACAAACGACATGCACGGTAAAACTTAATGTGTCCGACTCACTGGGGATCGATGTACAGGCAGATATGTGAAACGGTCAGAGATAAGTGAACATTTATAGACAATCATAGCAGTTACACCAAGCACAATACTGGCTGTGGGCGGTGAAACAGTCTGGACAGACGTGGCGGTTGGATACGTGACGTCGTATTGTACGTGGACAGGCAACACAGGGACATATGTTGACTGGACATCTGTAATACTCGTAAACATCTGTGAAAAAGAGCTTCATAGCCCATCGGATGCCTCCAGAATTCCGATTCTGAGATGGTGTCCAGGTGGAGCGTACCCGGGTGTACTCGTTGAAGGTGGCCTGCAGCTGTGGGAAGCTGCGACAAGCCAGGATCATGTTGAAGGTCGACTCGTCGGTTCCGAGTTTTCCCTCTCCGGCCGTGTACAGCCGCTGTGCATCGGACTGCGCTTTGCTCATGTCCACTGTCTGGGACTCATCACGATTACCCTGTGTGCATATAAACATTGCCCAATGAACACGGCGTACTCGGTTGCAGTCACACGTGTTTGACAGATCTGATACCTATGGATTTACTTGGTTAACAGGCATCAAATGCAAGCAGATGTTGACAATGCTTCAGACTGAGAATAGGTTTTCCATCTTATTTCTGGCAACAAAAACAGGTGTTAGATGTTAAAACACCAAACTGAAACCTTTTACAAGGAATAATGTCTGCATTAACCACAATACTTGTGGTCAGAATGCAAACAAAAAATACTCAAATATATGCATTGTCTTTGAAATTGATTGGTCCACACCAGAGACAGCTTTCTTTGGAGCCTAATCTCAAAAGGTGTTAGACCAGAGGATGCCAACAGGTGTAATGCGCTTCAGACCATTTTATTTTCCCCCCCCCTTTAACTGTAACTCTAGCCAGTGAATAGCTTCGGCAGGCTAGAAGCCCTGTGGATCTATTTAAGGATCTCTGATGTAAGGAAGTAATGTTTTGCAATCGAAAAAGGTGGCATCATTTATTAATTAGACCACACCTCTCATACAGTACATGTTGAGGCACCAGAAGGGGTATTTGAGATAAAGGTTTAAGGTAAAAAAAGGTTCATTTTAAATGTATTATCACCCCCACTCAGAGGTATCAAAACAATGTACAGTACAAACAATTACTCTGTAAGGAAGTTATTTCAGACCAAATACGACGTTTAAAAACAACACAGTAGGGAAATTTATGCAAAACACCAGAATAAATTTGTGTGAAAATCTAAACTCTTTCTTCTTCTTCCACGCGTTTGTCCCACTCATGTGGGGTCCCCGCTATCCTTGCCAAGCTTCTCCACATGCTGCCTTGTCCTGCACCATCTCTCTTTCCGCTCCTCGGGCCACCATGTCTGATGGCACTACATCACCCCACCTCTTAGTCTGCCTTCCCTCTAGATTTGAAGCTTTCGTGACTGCAAGGATTCATACTATTAGTTCTTTAGGTAAAGTCACGTAGGTAAAAAATGAAATTTAAAATTAATAAAAATAAAACAATAAAATCACATGATTGTATTGTTTTTTTATCGTTTTATTTTTATTAATTTTAAATTTCATTTTTTACCTACGTGACTTTACCGAAAGAACTAAGAGTACGCCTTCCCTCTCTTGATCTTTCCTTCCACTTGCATCACTTGCACCTTCTACTCACAATTTTCCGGTTAGTCTTTTCCACATGACCAAACCACAACCAGCCTTTTCTCTATAATCTTCTCTGAGATTTCTACGAGCTTGAGTCTTCCCTCTCACTTCTTAATTTCTCACCCTGTCCTTCCTGGTGAAACCCAACATCCACCGCAACCTCATCTCTGTGACTGCCATCGATTTGTCCTCCTATTTTCTGTGCCCCAGCACTCGTTCCCATTTAACTGCACCGGCCTCACCACCGTCTTTGTACACTTTTTCCCTTCAGCCAAACTGGGACCCTCTTATTGCACACCACACCAGTGATCTATCGCTATTTCAGCCATCCAGCCCTCGTTCTTGTTCTCATCGCTCCTTCTAGTGAACTATCAGCACACATCGTTGCACTCGGCTACTTAAACTCGTTTGTTTGTCTTTATTAACTGGTCACTTCCAATTTGCAATCATCCTTCTGATTTATTTCCACTGAAATTTGCCACCATGTACTCCGTTTTTGTCTGGCTGATCCTCAACCCATTCCTTTCAATCTTTTGCACCCAGATCTTCAAATAATCTCACACTAACCCTCTGCTTTCACCGCATAGCACAATGTCATCTGCAAACAGCACACATTAGAGGGGGGGGGCTCCCTCTGAAAATCTAAACGGTTTCATTTCAGTTATTCACATGCCAACTTAAAACGAATGCCTTAAAAAAAGTACCTGGCACATGGAAATGAGGAGGCGTTTGAAGTGCCCACTGGTGTCAGAGCGAATGTCCTTCTCCAGTGTGCGATTAAACTCTTCACGGTAGACACGAACAATCTCTTTAATCTCCTGGTTGGTGCGTGTGCACATGATCTCAATGAGGACCTTGTCATCCGTGCCAGCTCCCTAAAATGAACAAAAACAACAATAATGTTATTAGTTCAAGGAGCATTGACTGGACGCAAATTGTCTAATCATAAAAGCGAAAATCTAACTGGAATATTAGTGATCCAGAGTAAAAGTCAGATGTGAGTTTTTCCATTTGTGTTCTACAAATCCTAGGTCACAATATAAAATGGTACTCTTTAATACGGTATCGCGGCATATATACCTTTAGTATTTACCTAATTATTTGTTCAGATTTCTAAATATAATATTTTAAGAGTATAAGACTGCATCATTAAATATGTAAAAGTAAAGAAAACAAAAACTGAATGCTAAATGAATGTAAAATGTAAATTTACATTTGAACCAACATTTTGATAATTACCAAGTCAGTATCCACTAGATTTGCCTTAATATTTGTCCATCAATCCACATAGGGTCCTATGAACGTAAACATTATGGAAGCACTACGACAAGACATGAACGACTTCTTGTGTGCACTGTGAAATGAAACGCCATACCTTGATTGCCTTCATGAGGCTCCAAGCATCGTAGTATGTGGTAGGCATGAAAAGAGCCAAAATTATTTCCTCAAAATTACCACTCAGTTCCGACCTCAGATCTCGGATTAAGTCCTAAAAAGAAAAAGGAAATATGCAAGTAAATATATAAATAAGCACGATCATTTACAGTTCCAAAAAAGTTAAAAGAATAGCATAATGTGATTTATAGAAGATCACTTTTATAGAAAGTTTAACCATGTTACATTATTTAAATTGATGTACTACTTGTGAAAAGTATTATTGATGTGTAATTAAATAAAAATATTTTTAAAATGACGACAAAAACCTCCGAGTTCATATAACTAAAACATTTATTTGGCCACAAGTACATTTTTGGCGGAAAAAAAGCTTTTCATGGCTGTGTGCTGTTTTCACCTTTCCATACATGGTTTTAAAAGCCAGCTTAATCTTCTGTCGCTGATCGTTGGAACGATTTACAATTATATCAATTAGCGCTCTCTCGTCAGTGCCTGTAGAAATAGAAAAATACAGCAGCATTACAAAAAATATTTAGTTACGAGTAAAGGAATCTGGCAATAACATCAAAACATTGATTCACATGACTTGCCAACCAATCCCTAAAAGTTCAGGTTAAAGCTGAGGGCAGCATCAGTGGTATAAATGTAACTTTTTGCTTCGATTGAAGCGCTGAAATATATTTAGATCTGTGTCAGGAGCAAATAAAATACAACAAATGCAATATTTTATCTTGAAGGCCTTTGTACTTTATTTATTGCCCAAAACCTCTCTTGCAGCCTAAAGAGTATAGGTAGCATCACATCTTACTGGTAGGAACCTCCTGGTTACACCAGCCCACAGGGGATTATTGTGTCCGTCGTGCAGGGAGGGGCTGGTCACCCTCACAGTCGGGCATATTTGCGGAATACACCACGCCGCCGTTGACCCTGGCCATTGACCGAGCAACCCAACGTTCCTACCAGCTCCCTACGCAGGAATGTGTTCAAACCCGTTTGAAAAGCATGGACATACATGTCCTTGGATATAGGGATCTGAATTGGTGTGAACATTAGACAAAATGGTCACAATTAACTTAACTTTGAGATGCTGAATACATATGTAGGTGTAAAGTTCAATACATATTTATAAACACACACACACAAAGCATGTAATCATCCAGCACATCACCATCTTGACCAATCATGAATTATACTTTAAGCAGTTGAGAAATCAAACAATTAAACAAGCATAGCCAGGTGTTACATCCTGCTGCTGAAACTAGTTGGGATGAGTGTCTAAGGCAGTGGTTCTTAACCTGGGTTCGATCGAACCCCAGGGGAGGTTAAGACACACACCCGACTCATATGATTGTGCACCAGTAAAACATATACCTATGTTTTGAATTTGAAAAAATCATATTTTATTTTTCCAATTAATAAGGGTTCGGTGAATGCGCTACATGAAACTGGTGGGGTTCGGTACCTCCAAAAAGGTTAAGAACCACTGGTCTAAGGATAGCAGTCGACTTGTGTAGTGCCCAGAAGTGCATTTTATCACCACACAATTTATCTGGGAATATATCAGGAGTGCTTGATGTAAACTACGGCTTACCAAGGCCCTTCATGGCACGTCTCAGCACCTCGGCGTCATCCTGGGCATTGAAGTTACATGCAGTGCGGACCGTGCCTCGTGCTACGCCACCAGCACTCGGGTACGACACCTGAGACAAGAGTCACGCACACAACGGCTCGTACCGCGTCCGTCCAGTGCTCGCCGAGCTGCATTGGCTTCCGGTTGCCAAACGAATACATCACTAAGTCACACTTATTATGCACAAAGTGCTTGCCGCAAATGAACAACACATTGCTGATCTCAAGCAGCATGAACTATAACGCAAACTCCGATCATCCTCGCAGAGGCTTTTGGCTCGCCGTCGAACATGAAGACTGTCACTGAACATTGCATAATTTAAAAAATATGCTGTATAATAGACACTGGCTAATAATTTTACATTTTATGAATTGCGCCACGACAATTCAGGTTTTTACTACCTCGTCTGAGATTTAGGCAGCACCCTCCCAGCTGGCCTCAATCAGTGTGAAGCAGTGTGTAGTATTATTATTGTCAGCCAGGATAGGCACACCTGAGCAGGGGTGCTCTGGGATTGCTGGTAGGCTGGTTGTGCGTAGGAAGCACCAGATGGCTGCTGAGTAGGAGGTGCTGAAGGAGCATATGACGCCGGGGGATTCTGGTACATGCCACCTGTACGCGCGCGCACACACACACACACACAAATACCCATATGTACGTTAATGGATATAGACCTACACAACCAGTCAAAGTTAAATTTCGATCCCGAGTGATACGAGAGCCATCTCGTGAGCAAAAGTAAGACCCGTTACCCAAATTCGCAACAATGCACTGGGAAGTAAGGTTGTTCAAAGCAGAGCTCGCATACAACATTGTCATTTGTGGGGAGTTAATTAACGTTATTAGTTATGACACTTGTTTTCACTTAATGTTATGCCTATGACCACATAACCCAGATGGAACCCTATCTTGTCAGATCTCGCAAGCTAGGCAAGGATTTTGAGCTCGGACAGTGCTAGGGTGGCTGATCGCCAAGCACACAACTTGGTGTTGCAGGCTACTTGTAGGGGCAACATTGTCAGCGTTAATTGTTGCACTGTGCTCACACCTCTATGCTTGCAGCCTTCACCAACCCCCACTGACCAGGGCGGTGGAGCGTGGTCGGGTAACTCTCGTGGTGAGACTTTCACCCAACTGCAGATTTATGAAATGACTGCATGACTAATTTTATATCAAGAGCTGTGAGAAGCCCCGGCACAGAGCGTTATATATATAAATGTCATACAACTTTAAATCAGTGTTAATCAGTTGTAATGTGCCATGGAAATTAGGTAAAATAAGAATATTTGTGTCTGTACACAATAATTCTAACGAGTGACCATGAATGGGGATTGAGTAGCATCAGTGGTTCTAGTATGGTCAAGAACCTAATGACCTGAAATCAATTCCTGGCTACAGCTAACATCAGTGGTGAGTGATACCTGAACTTATCCTGGGCTTCTGTGTCAACAACCCACAGTCCAGGTAAGGTCAAACAACCCTTAGGACCAACACAACTTGGTTTGGTGGAGAGGTATGCAACCAGCAGAGAATTGACAAAGGGGCTGAACATTTGTTTTGTTAAAATTGTATACAATTATTACAAATATTGAATGTCTCATGATACATGTACTACAATAAATCATATTGCAATTATGAAAACATTTGAAATTTAAGCCTGTAAACAACATGCATACCAACCCCTTTGACAATACTCCATGAATTATTTAAAAAAACTGAGCTTTCAATCGGTTGTATTTTTTAACCCCAACACAGATTGCATTTTACAAGCAGTCTCACGTTGAATGTGTGCCGCAGCCAACAGTGAAGGAAGGACATGCCCTGCATTGTATGATGGTGTCTCGATTTCCTACTTCTTTCATATGACTGATGTAGATGCAGCAACAACTACAATTTCACATTTCGGTGGTCAAGCCAGATAACCGTGTCAGGAACAGCGGAGTGGATCGCTGCAATGTCTTCCTTCGTATTTGTGCATTGGGCATCACGTTGTGATGTTGTATGGTCTGTTCTGGATGACCAGTCGTACAGTGGGGATTTTTTTCTTTTCCATTTGTGCATCAGGTATCCGCTGTGCTGGAGCAAGTGTTACCTTGTGGACCGGGTTGAGGGGCGGCCTGATAGCCAGGTCCTCCAGGGGGCGCAGAGTAGCCACCACCAAAGCCACCGGCAGCAGGGCCTACACAAACACACGCGCGGGAGTTGAGGCACAATCGAGTATAGCGGTACTCCCTCCCACTCAAATGGCATTGTACCTCACCAAACATGCATAACACAACCGCGAGCAATTCCTTGTGCAAGAGACCACTTCCAGTTCAAATCCTTTAAAAGCAATACACAATTCGCCGTTATCAATAATCAGAAAGTAACTAAACGTCAATTCCAATGTTATTGATCTATTACACAGTGGTATTTAAAATAATTTAAATATTGAAAATGTGTTACTTTCTGATTCAATGCATTGTTAGTGAGTATACACATTCATTATACAAAGTGTGGCCAATGTATACCTGGAGAAGAACATTTGAATTTCACATGAACATGCTTTACAAAATGTTAATCCTGCAATGAAAACTCTATATTCATGAATTGAAACTTCTGCAACAGCCTGCTATAAGTGTAAGGGGAGTTTTTTTTCTTAATAATGAAGACAAAGGTTTCAGCAATATTGTTTACTGAAAAAGATAGCATATCTGTTTCCCACTAATAACTTAGAATTTTTTTTTTATAAAACACTATATTCTTTGGGTCTTTCGGTAAAGTCACAAAGATAGGTTGTTATGTTTTTTCATCCCATCTACGTGACTTTACCAAAAGAATATTAATTCCTGCAGTCATGAAAGCTTTAAGTCAACACAAAACACTGGTTAAAATGCAAAACCAAGTTATTTTATAAATTGATTTGCAAGTGTTTTTTTTTGTTTGGTCGATTGTAGGTTGCGCATTTGAACGCAATGGATTAACTCGTTGGATGGTTTAAAGAAATTGGTCTGGTGGATGCACTTTTAACCATTACATTTAGAACACTAACATTACTGTATATATTGGATGTAGAATAGTCCATGCCATTCTATGGACATGGACTGCAGCATTCTATTTCACATTAATAAACATGGAGGGGTATATGGGTCACAATGCCCCGTTCCAGAAAATTACATTCTCCGCATTAAATTAGCATTCATAAATACTTTCTGGCATGACGTTTTAGAGTTTAGACCATGAACACACACACACACAAAAGAACATGGATAAAACGTGCACACTCAAAAACACAAAATGCACACCCATGTGTGACTGTGCCCAAATCCTCACAATGAAAAGGTAAAGCTGCAAAAGCAGTGGCTGGCAAACCAAGGGGCAATGTTCAAGTTTTGGCTTCGGTTATCTTAATCCACAATTAAAAATACATGGTGTACGAGAATAAAAACACAATTTGAACATGCAAAAGGCCAGTCAGGAAGCAGAATGTATTGACCAATATGTAAATAATTTCCATTAACGTTTAATTACATTGCCAAAGATGAGAGGATCCCACACTTTTTTGTACAGATCATCATTAATATAAAATTAACACTCCATCTGGGATTGCCAGTCAAGGTGAAATAAAACGAATGTCTCGGGATGAGAGAGTGGATGTACAACCCTTCCAGAAGAGTAGGTCTAGCCCTGGAGATGAAGATAGGAGACACATAAAAAGATAGCAAAACAAAGCAGAGTACAGAAGCATTAGCTAAGAAGCAAAACAGAGCTTTCCAAGGCATCCAATACATTATTAAAACATGGCAGGGGTGGTGTAAACAAGCTACTAAACAAGTGATATCCCATGTTGCCAATTTGTGTAATGTTTTGGTTATATATTCAACAATGAAATTACATTGGAATTACTTTCATGTTGAATATTAACACAAAAATAAAATCAGTCACTGTGAAAATACACATTCTACACGTCAACATAAAGACATTATTGTACAGAAAAGTATATTATTTCTAAAGGTTTTTTTCTTAACCCGTCTGCATTAATCTCTGAAGTGGCAAAATTAGGTATCAAGATGAAAGGCGAATAAAGCTATTTGAAGAAAAGTGCCAACGACATCGGTTCCCATTATAATCAGCAGCACATTCTCAATCGACTGCTGGATGAAGGCCTCCCAACATTTCTGCCATTTTTCATGGTTCTGCAATGTCATAATAAATCTTATGCCTCCATAAGAGGTAATCTCATCTCTACATACATGATTATCATCCTCAAATACATTCCCTCATTTGGCTGTCATTCAATCATCATGTGATGTGTCCTGACCAAAACGCAACTTTTCATAAGATATACCAAACTTGCATGTCTCAGATCTGTTCCTTTCACTCAAAGTCCCAGAATGCGTCTTTCCATGTCTGTATATTTTTGGTTTTAGGTCTATTCTATATGCCAGTGTACAAATGTCCAATATGTTATAGTAGGAAATAAACATGGAAAAAAAATGTGTATTCTTTAAAAAGTATAGTCGTATGCTTCTTTTAATTATCAAATTACATTTTTTTAAAACACTGCAACCTACTCAAGCTCGCCTCTATTTAGTACCCTAAAGTTTGCCACGATATACATCATTTTCCCAGTAGTGCAAAAAAAGTTCCAAGTACGTTGTGTTTTGCTCATTTATCCTTAAACCTTGCAAGATTCTTGTTCTTCAAATCATATCTTGAAACATATGGAGTCTATAGTATATTTGCCTCTCAAAATATATTGCCCATAATTATAAAACATATAATTTGGTATTATATTATTCAAAGGATGTGCTTTAACAATACTATTCAGCATGTGTAATTACATCTGCATGTATTGCACACTCAGCACAACACTTGTAAAAATGACAATTAATGTGCAATTGCATTACACTGTAACAAAGTCAAGATTAGCTCTTCAATGTGCTTTGGGGTTGCACGACAAATAGTTCTGGATGATGTCCTGTTTCACTCCAAATACTGCAAGCTTCTTCAGAAGCTGAAGTGCTGGAAGCTAAACGTTGCACATCATGCCGAACACCACCTTTGACCATACAACCAAATAACACATAAGTGAGCTATAGAGAACAATGGCAAACTCATACGAAGTAAATAAGTTCTTTCGGTAAAGCCACGTAGGTAAAAAAATGAAATTAATAAAAATAAAAACAATATTTTTATTAATTTTTTTTTCATTTTTTTACTTACGTGACTTTACCGAAAGAACTAAGAGTATGAATCCTTGCAGTCACGAAAGCTTCAAATCTACAAGTAAATAAGGTTTAAAGGCTCACAATAGTTAATGAAACATTCTTCACGAGGGTCCACCTTAAATGCAATACATGACAGCATTCACTGGCTTTGGCAATCAAGTATTATACTGCACATATCTACGTGTTTTAATAATTCAAATAGGACCCTTTTGCACACACGTGTTTATCCACTGAAGAGCTATGTTGCTTTTTCAGGTACACTGTGGTTACTCTTTTGTGATAAAACCTCAGAAGTAAAATTTGACAATGTGCGTGCTGCTAAACGCTGTCAGCTGAAATCAATTCTATTAACATTATGACCTTTAAATGATGTTATAGAATTTCCAGCTATGATAAAGTAGTCTCATTTAAGTAAAATCATTCATTAAACCCCTACTGAAAATACAAAGGAAAAAGGAAGCACACGCAACAGATCAGTATAGTACTTCATTTATTAAATTTCTAAACATTACATAGTATTGAATTGCAAAGAAATACACCAAGATACATTAAATCAGCAAAATTTGATTACAAGATTAATGCCACAAGTCTACCACAAGAACACCAATTTTGAGGAGACATTTTACCATATAGCCAGAAACAGCGTGATTTTTCAATTTAAATGCCTTTACAAAAACGCAACTTCACAGACAAGCTTTGGGTCATTTAAAATTAACATTAGTGCATTCTAAATGGCATACGATCTTTGGCACCAGTGGAACTAGAGCTAGGTGTGTGAGCCAGAGTAGTCGTGTGCTTTTTTGCAATATATTTGTAATGGCATACATGCATGCAATTGGTTTAGAATGCTCGAATGAACAGCCATTTAAATATAACAGCATTAATTAAAACAGGTTTACTAAAAGCTATATACAATATTCAGCCCCAATGAAATCAAGGCAAAATATTTCGTGGAAAATTTTTGTGGCGTGTAGATTTAATTTAATCGGTGCAAGAGTTCAACATTAAACTATTATTTTGTAGCATTAATCTAGGGCCAGATCAACCTAATTTCCCCACTTGCATAACGATTCATAAAATTCGACAATAACCATATGTTCTAGTTAGCAATAATTGTGAGCACCAGGCAAAACAAAGTATATAAAACATGGATATTTGGAATTTAGATTAATCATTTGCCAACTTTCAAAGTTAAATTCTACCGAAGAAAATGACTTTGTTCAAAGCTGACCTGTCTCGGGCAATTACTGTTAGTAATGGAAAGTTGAGAAGATTATATAGCATTTTCTGCTACACTCTACATGGGATCTTTCACATTTGAGTTGGGGAATCAGATTGTTGAAAATATTCATAGCCAACTCAGTATCCATGAAGTAGATTATCATGTATGTTTCTTGTTGGTATCAAAATGCCATAATTATTCCCAGGTTAAATGGACTTTATTATGCATGTTGAACTGCTTTCGCATTTTACATAGCCAACCGCACTAAATCGGAGGTGATTGTAAGCAAGTCACTAAATATTTCTATAATTAGTAGTTTATATAACTGGATCATCAACAATATAATCGAACCTTCTTGCTGAAAAATACATGGGCCAGTGGATAATCAAATGACAGAAATTGGACTAAGAATAATTAACATCCAAGTGCCTGGCTGCACGTCTGTCTGTACATGTGAGAATGATATAAATTTGCAACAATTTCCTGTACAGGATATCAACAGAATTGGGTGAAATGGTTTCGGAACTTAAGCAATAATGGGTTCAGTTGAATGTTTACAAAAAATCCCTCTAAACAATAATGAAAACCCCTTAAACGTTTAATTACTCCCAAGTCATCATCATCTCTGATTTGGCTATATGTGTCCCATTGTAATTCTGCAAGTATAAATTTAACACCCATAAAGATAAAAAGTCAGGGGATGCACTGTTTGTGGAATAAAACACATGTTGACATGTTTGCCTGCAGGCATAACATTGTAAGAGACGACTTTGAAAAATGCATGCAAAAAGATAATTGTGCAACAGTGCCTCCCTTGTATTCACATCACTGCCAAAGACATATCACAGAATACATGAAACACACATATATTACACACACACACACGTGTACTTGATATTCACCAACTAGTTATCAATGTCTGTCAAAACACAATCATTATGAACTATGTATGGGTGTTCAGTTAAATTAACCTCGAGTTTTTTTAACATATCATAACTTTACTCAAATACCATGCATACTTTGGGATACATATCATTTATTGCGATAGCCTTGTTTCCTTTTAAATTTGAAGATAAATCTATTTCACATTAATTTAGCTACTGACAGAGTATTCAAATCAGCACTGACCAGAATGGTGAAGAATGGTCAAATAGCCCTCAGGACTGACGGCTTTGGGAGGTCTTTTTGACCAAAGGTTGAACATTATAATGGGGAATATTAAAATCAAAGTAATGTGTGCTGTATAGTACTGTGATTTACCTTAGTTTAAATATTTTTGGACAATAAGGAAAACATGTTTAAGTACATGTAGCAATGGTATGGCTGAGTAGAATTATGGTATTATGGTATTTCATGAGCAAAATATGACACCTGTGTATATTGTGAAAATTACAGTTATTTAAAGTGCCTAAACAAACTATAATTGGAATCTAACATAGTATGTACACTAAATTCCAAATATTTGTAATCACAATAAAGAACATTTATAGTCTTAAAAAGACGCACCATTTCATATCATGGCAATATTGTTCAAAGTATGTCCTTGAGTTTCACGGCTGACTAGAGTTAAAGGCATTCAGGTTGCTTAACAATTAATAAAGGATCTGCTTCATGGGGAGGCACTGGATTCAGTATCCACCTGTTTGAAAGACATTAAGAATGTATGTTTTATTTACAGATCAAAGTAAAATTTAACACAACTTGTTAGCAATCATACAAATGTGATATTTTGGCCAAGTTTCTATAAACAATTGCATGATTAAGATAAATAAATTCAAAACACTATTACTGTAATTGTGCATAAAGCATGGGTAGTGATCATACCCAGGATGTACAATGTTTAAGTATTTTCAATGAATAATATGCAACCTGTACAATAATTCTCATCAGCGTACATATACAGTAGAACCCCAATTATCTGAAACTGGTTCATTGTGTCTTGCATATCATCGGGCATTTTCACAATATACCGAGTTGAAAAATCATGAACACTTGAAAAGCAGTTTGATTTACAAAGCACATTGGGAAAGATGCTGATGATGATGTGTTCATAAAAACAGGCTATTCTGATTTTCATCAGGCTATTCTCATGTCATCTCCAGTCCAGGTAGAAATTCTTGAAATTCATTCCATTCTTGTACAGCAGTAGCATAAGGATTCCACCACGTGAAGCAAAATAGTCACTCAACTAAAACAGCAGACATCTCAGACATTGAGTCAGTCAGCCCGAGGCGGAGCAACAGTTGGAAAAACTATAACATCCGGTTGAGGGCATTTCCTGAGTTAAACTAAATCAATTTTCGTTATAAATCCAGACCTGATGACATTTATAGCAATTGGTGTAACAAAAATAGTTTGCCGAGAATCTTTGGCTGAAGCATGGAATTCAACTCGCAGAAATAATCAGAAAATCCTGCGAATCGGTTTTCCTGAATGGGCGTGCTCCAGGGCATCTTCTGAATACAATTCCACAAGTTGTATTTTCTTGGAATATTTTAGAAGCATAATTTGACAATTATTTCTGCAACCATGCTGAAGCGGGTCATCTGGGTTTAAAATCCTTCTTGCTTCAGATCCTGGGTATTATGAATCCACCAACTTGGTCAAACTTCGATGCCACAATGCTTCATATTTCAGCATCAGAGAACATTCCAAGGTGTTGAGTAAATCCTGGTCACTTGCAAGACCACACCATTCAAAATTTCAGTGAAGTAATGATGAAACCATGCTATCTACATCCAGAAATTTGCTCATAGTGATGGTAATATTGACTCTTTAAACCAGGCTATAGAATGTTGTCTTTTCCTCTATTTGTTCCTTCTCCCAATGTGATCAATAAAGCTGACTTACTGAAAACAAAAATACCTAATGCAATAGTATAAACTCCTAAATCTGCACATTTTCATTATTATGTGCTTATTCTTTACAGTCACTTGGCAAAACTAGGACCTCATTCAACCACGCTGGCAACTTGTCAGCATAGACTTACAAAACCACATTCGTAGACAGGGCTATTTGGTACCATTCATTAGTAAGCTAGACATTTAGTAATTAATTCTCGCATGTGTACATCCCTTTTTGGAATCCACTGCTGGATAGGGGCCTCCCCATTTAGTTCAGCTTGTGGAGATTCTTTGACCATACTTCAAGCTGATCAATGTGGGTCAGAGGCATGGGAGAATATAAGAAGAGCAACATATCTTTCTGCACTGTCCTTTGCTGCCCACAACATAGCCCCATATGCCCAAGATGATAACTTGTTTGTATATGGTCACTCATTAAAGTACCATATGTGCTCAAGCCTGGAGATTTATCTATAGGAAATTAATTACCATTGTATGAAGATTTCTAACAAATATTTATCATGTAATAATTATGCCATAAAATTAAAAGTCCGTAAAGTATTATATTCTGCTCCACCTACCTTCCTGGGAGCTTATTTAAAAGGTAGAGCCACATTCATCCACTAAGAATTTGAAGTGATATGGGGGTGGGTTAAGCTTGCTAATGCCTATCAACAACCTTCATTTGTGTATTCAGTAATGTATTAATTAATACATTTATTCAAACTCTGTCATTGCTTTAATGGAAGCAATCATGGCACCAATAATAAAGAATGCGAAAGTGATGGACATGTAAAAAAAATAGAAACACTTTTTTACAAGATATCACAGATGGTGAAATGGTGACAAAGAAATATACAAGACAGTATAAGTCAATATATAAACTTCCTTAGGTATTTGAGCAGCTCGACACCATTACAAATGCATATTAACATGTTTGTGTGCTTAAAGTAGCTTGGGTTAAACGATTACTGATATAATAGGATATGCCCCTTTTTTTCTGGCAACAAAACAGATGTTAAAACACCAAACCTAAACTTTTACAAGGAATCATGTCTGTATTAATCACAATGCTTGTGGTCAGAATGCAAACAAAAAACACTGATAGTATATGCATTGTCCTTGAAACTGATTGGTCCACACCAGAGACAGCTTTCTTTTGAGCCTCGTCTCAAATGGTGTTAGACCAGAGGACGCCTCTGGTCTACAGACCAAAGACCATGCACTATCAGAGTAATGAGAGCTCGGGGCGAGCATCTACATCATGGGACCTCCTTTGCCAGTACCAAAATATGATAAGTTTTCCCCTTTTTTCTGGCAACAAAACTATTACTATTTTTATTTTACCATGTAAGGCACAGAGCTATATAGCTATTTTGCAGAAGCGACCTCGCCACAAATGATAGCTCAACTAAGTGACTCATTACATTTCTAAATGTAGAGGGAAAAACTGGAGGACTCGGGAGAAAAATCCACGTCACCACGGGGAAAACATGCAAACTCCAAAATATACAGGGGTTATGTTTGGGATCGAACCCACGACCTCCTAATACCAAGCGAGGTAGATAACATCTCGCCAGCATGGCACCCCACATATGCAAGCAGCACAATATCCATAAAACCCAACCAATGGTACTGGCAAAGGAGGTCCCATGATGTAGATGCTCACCCCGAGCTCTCATTACTCTGATAGTGCATTGTCTTTGGTCTGTACGCCTCTTGCCGTCCTCTGGTCTAACACCATTTGAGGCTCAAAAGAAAGCTGTCTCTGGTGTGGACCAATCAGATTCAAGGACAATGCATATATTATCAGTGTTTCATTCCCATAAAATGTTTCAGCTGCAAGATTTATAACAGATTAAAACATGTCCATGTCTACATGTCAGCATAAATCACCAGTAGACATGAGGCAAAGGTTCCATGAAATCAGCAAATGATACCGCATCAAGAACTTCCGTTGCTCTCCCAAACACAATACTTGAACTGTGATTCCAATAAGGAATGGTATTGCCTCCTATACCCACATTGTTTTCACACTGGAACTGCCATGGCAATTTATGTAGTATGAAATACTGGCGTTTATCCATGTTGCAGATATATTAACTTAAATTTGCAGGTAATTTGGCTTGACAGCACGTGCAGCTGTGCAAAGCAACACATGTTTTAACAGGAAAACAACCAGAATAGGAATGCAGTACTTACTGTACAGATACTACAACGCAAATGTGAAACGTATTTTCTAAATTATTTATATCTACAAAAGCTGAAAATAGCATTGGGCACTGTCAAATTCCCTTTCCGGAATTTTCTTCCACTGGCCATCTGCAGTCCAGGCTCAATACATTTCTCTTCGATTCTACTTATGACTTCGTTCCCAAAAAGCAGCTACATTTGCACTTCTACTATAACATCTTAAGTCCCTCTGGCTTTTTAGCATTTCCTTTCCCTAAAAAAATAACCCCTTTCTTAAAATTCTCTTATTGTGCATACTTAAACAATATCTTGAGATAAACCAGTGGAATTAAGTCCAAAGTTTATTACATTACTGTACTTGAGATTTTTTTTTACAGTGAATACTCTATTTTGATCAGTCGGCTGGAATGAAGGACAATACACGTGGACCATGGAAATGGAAAAATAAGGAAAGCTGCATTACATCTCTCAGCAGAAGACAGGCAGCAATGTGTGAAGTTGCCAGTGGATGACATGACATTCGCTAGTGGTAGCAAGAGACCAGTAGAGATAGAAGTGGGGGTCAAAGTAGCAGACTAAAGAGCATTAAATAAATGCAACATAAAAATGATCAAGTAATATATATTACAATCAGTATTGCTGCCACGAGTGCAATACACGTGCATAATCATGAGTTTTCATGTGGAAAACATGAAACTTGGTCTTTATTTAGGATCAGCCCAAAACATGATAGTCCTTGTGACTAATACAATTTGATCAAACAATGCCTACAGTGTTGCTGTGAGCTTAGCTGCTAAAAATAAAATCTTCTCCATTTACAAAAATAAAAGTCACACAAAACCAAATGAAACCAAGACACACAAACAAGTCAAGATTACCAAGTGTTCTGATAATCGGGGTTTTACTGTATACCTGACTACAAAGTCCAAAGCAGGTTGCACATTTCCAAGATGCTGTACTGACAAATGAAATTCTTAAGCACAATAAATACATACTACATGGCCGATACAAAACTGTTCATACCTGGATACTGGGGGCCTGGAGGACCAGCGCCATAGGGGGGAGCTCCGGGCGTGGGATAGGGAGCTCCGCCAGGGTATCCACCTGCACCGGGCTGCGGCGCGTACTGGCCTGGGTTGGACGGGTTGTATCCCGCCGGTCCGGTTGGGTAGCCCCCGGCAGCTGGGTATCCAGCTCCAGGCTGCTGTGGGTACTGAGGGAAGGAGCCCGGAGGCTGCCCGTACGGCCCTGCCGTGGGCTGGTAAGCGCCTGCGTTGGGTGGGTACCCCCCAGCGGCGGGTGCGTAGCCACCGGCTCCGGGAGGGTATGTGGCCCCGGCCGGAGGGTACGCTGCTGCTGAGCCCGGGTATCCGCCTGGCCCTACTTGGGGGTAGGCAGCGCCCTGAGGGAGGTTAGAAGAAAACAGTGGCACCATTATATTGTCACAGGACCCTTCGTGGCTCACACGCTGGGGATGAGAACTGCAAAATTCAGGATTCCACTCCTAGGTGGAAGCAGTTGAAATTTCAGGCCACTTTTTCATACACTGCAGCCAGTCCCCCACCTAGTAACAGTAAAACTTCAGAGTTAATTCGAGCCTTTTGGCGAGATAAACAGATGTGAGCACAAGTGTGCTTGATGAATTGTTTTTTTGCTGCAAACGTAAAAATAATCAGGGAAGCAACAAATAGTGTTTATAACATGTAGTTATTTGTTATGATAAGTGAATAGCCATTGTACCCAAAATATGCATTTGCATACGGATAATGGGATTTTAAGTCACTTTAAAATTTTGAAAACGTTGAAACTGACCACTTCAGACCAATGGGATATGTTTTTAAAAGCATATTATCTCCAGGAAATAAAATGTATAGTATTTTTTCACCAGTTGTCAATCCATACATTATTGTACAGTATACGAGTTTAGATTATCCAAATGATAAATGCATTAACATGAAAAAAATGTTTACCCTTTCTGGCACTAAAAACAGGTGTTAAGATGTTAAAACACCACAGAAACCTTTTGCAAGGATTAAAAAACACATACTTATGGTGAACATGCAAACAAACATGCTCTGATAGACGATGCATATATTATCTTACTGGCCTACACCAGAGACAGAAGTCTTCTTTAGGGCCTAGTCTCAAGTGTCAGACCAGAGAACGCCAAAAGGCGAACAGTATAAACACATTCCTGCGGAGGGAGCTGGTAGGAACGTGGTCAATGACCAGGGTCAACGGCGGCGTGGTGTATTCCGCAAATATGGGCAACTGTGAGGGCAGGCACAAGCCGGCGTGAGTAGGTTAAACGTTGAGTTTTATAAGGGCACCACGGGGTGACCAGCCTCTCCCCACCCAGCCCCACCCCTCCCCGCACGACGGACGGACACAATAATCCCCTGTGGGCTGGTGTAACCAGGAGGTTCCTACCAGTAAAAAGAATGCACTATCGGAGCATTTATAGCTCGGGGTGAGCAGCTACAAAATGGGACCCGTTTGGCAAAAAGGGACCAAATGCATCCATTTCTACAGCACTGAACGTAGCTACTTCAGGTGGTTATGAATAAATCACGTACTTTCTTCCAAAAAGTTAAGCCATTTTAATATTATACACCGTCAGAGTTTCCTGCTTCATGCTGTAAACTCCTTATTGATCGAACCATATTTACTTAGGGGTTAAGCCACGTGGGAGTTTTATAGCAAATTATTTACATTAAGGGTCGACCATCTGATACGATTGCAATGTTTACAAATATAAACTTATCCTTTCCCTCATTTATTAAATTCTGACCAAAAGAGTTAACTAATGGCTTTTGCCTGTTAATGGATAAATGCAACATCAACATACGACATTGCACTTAAAACTGCATTGAGCTTCCTCATCAATCATTGTAGTTGGGCAACCCATACATTTTCAAGTACACCAAAAACCCTAGTCCATTGCGGGGGTTATGTTCTTGAAACTAGCATAAAAAATCGGCAAATTCACGAACCGCAAACTCAAAGGCATTGTGAAAAGTAGAGTTTGGTTCGCAGTTCGTAAGACAACCCTTCCTTTTGTTACCCTACATTAACCCAAAAATTAAACGAGATGCATTTATAATGTAAATTATTAATGATTTCTGCAGTATTAAATATAAGTTGCACAGCAAAATAAAGATACGGTTAATGACATGTACTCTAAATATTATGCAGTTAAAATTTTTTTACTTGTACGAATGACTATGGTGTGTGTATTCTTCTGCGGCAGCATCACTGCGAGTAGTGCAGTTAGGAGTACGGTACTTTAGAATGCACTGTACAACCATTTTGTGGTCAACCACAAATGGCCAAGCCACAGAGACACGATCAGCGAGCTCTTCCTCAAGGAGATTTGGCACGAATAGTGAAATCCGCGATGGGAAAACCCGCGATGGGCAAAGAGTATCTTACTATAACAATCGTAAAAGAATGTACCAAACAATTACATGTAGAACACATTTGTCAGTCCACTGCAGGATGAGATGAGTGCCTCCCCACTCCAGGCAGGCAGTGAGGGTTATTTGAGCATACTTCATCATACTGGTCACTGTGGGTTGATGGAGGCAGGGAAAGTACAGAATGGCAATGGATTTTGCTGCACTGACCTCGACATATTGCCCAATATCAAGCACACTTATTTTTTGTGCTTGATAGTTGACCATGCAAGTACTGCCTAGGCTCAACTCTGTTAAGCTTTCGAGGTCCGAGGGAATCGAGCACATTTCTGGTGATTTTTTTCACAAGCACCAAACACGTATACAAAACGGCTTGCAATAATGCTTATCGAAAGAGATGTTTCTTGAAGAGGAGAAATGTGTTTTTACTTCAGAGCATGTTTATCTCCAAGTACAGTGTACTGTACTGGAGCACAAGTAGGCTCCAGTAATTTGTACAACTCAAATAGAACTGGAAACCACAAAGGCACACCCTGACAATCTTTCCGTTTCGTGTGCGAGCTTCGCCGATTGGACCATTTTGCCCTGACTATTCCCACCCCCTAAATACATTTTTCGTTGAAAAACTGTCAGCTTAGGCTTTAACTGATTCCAGGCAAGTGTTTTTTTATTACATAATCAGAGCCAGAGTAGTGTGGAGAGTTGAACTTTTGAGGCTGAATGCTATGCGAATAATTTTCTCGACTCGGACCGAGGGGCCCTTTCGGTCCGATACATTATGCTCCATAAAGCTCGTTGAAAACACATTTCTGGTATGTCCGAGATTTCTAAAATCTCAATCAGTGTAAAATCAATTTTTCTTTATTAACTGAACATAAAATGACACGTAACAAAACAATCTCTAGTGTCCGATGACAGAGTGCTCGAGGCACGGCACGTTCTCTGACACACACAGAGGGCAGCGAATGACATGGCAAACTTGAGTCACATTTTCCACCAACACCCTCGGTTAAGGCAAATCCCCAAGTATGTTGCCATCGTTCCATTTTACGAGGTCTAGACATTCTGTAGGACGCTCATCGCAACCAGACTTCAACACCGAGGAGCCATCTAGCCCAGTCACCTATCTACATTTACACATCAGGCTAATTTCCACCGTTTTTGACATTTAAATTCCATTCAGTAAAATTAAAATCTTTGCATCCGATTGACTTCAAAAAGCAGCATATTTTAATTACTTAATGTTAGCAACATTTATGGTTGAGCACGAAAATGCATTCTATATCACTTGAGTTATATGGAACGTTTCCACATACAACATGGTAAGGCTGTCCGAAACAGAATAATGCTGCATGACGAAGCAGATTGATAATGCACCGGGGTTTACTTTACAGTGCCGTGTCCCAAGTTTGTAAAACCCCCAATTCTCGAAATGTAGGTACAGTATGGGTGCGGCGATAATAGTAAGGGTCTGTGGGATGGAGTAGAGCTCACCAGCACAGTGCTGGAATTTAAGGGAGGGTTGTAGTGCTTGAGTGCCATTGGTGAGGATGTACGTTACAACCAAATTTAAATACAAGGCTAATAATATACCAATGCCCACAACTCCCTTCACCACACCATATGCAGCCATGTATGTGAAAGCGAGTGGTGGTGAGCTAAAGCTTACTGGATATCCTGGAGCTGGTTGGTAAGGGCTGGGGTTTCCACCAGGGTAGCCGGGATAAGACATCCTGCAAAACATAAAAAAAACCACAAAAATGATTGTGCTTTCATGTGAAGCATTTGAAAAAACAGTGCATTAACAACATTGAATTGCAAATTTCTATTATATATTATAGCTAACATTAATATTAAAATTGGCAAGTCATCCTCTTATGCCAACAAGGGTATATCTAAAAAACGCTTTATATCAGCCATACCATACTTGCATTAATCTAAAACGACCCTCAAAGTCATGCAAAAAAAACTATGAAGATCAGCATTTTCATTCTGTATGTCAATGATCCTTCTGCCGACACATGTTTAGGTCGGTAAAGATTACTTTCTACAACACAGCTTTAATGAGGAAAAGGCTAATACTGTACAGACTAAAGCCATTCAGGAAATGCTACATTCTTAGATGCGAACAAGGCCCCAAGACAGTAAATGCATTTCATTCTGTGGTGAAAGAGTAGAAAGAACACATGCAATATAATGTTTTTATTAAAAGCTATTCAGCATCATCTAGCAATTTATACGTGAATAAAGCGATTTTGCTATAACTACACATGCATTACATTTGTGAAACGAAATGCTTGCCACACACTGTAGCCCAAAGGGCTCGCTGGCCTTGGTCATAATATTGAAAATGCTGCGTCATCAAATACTTTAACAGAAAAAAAAACACTTATTTGGGCATATCCATGATTTTTAATACATAACTGAACCGAGCCAGACACATTCAATCCTGAACCCAACAGGCAAATTCACAAGCACGCATTATAATATACGCAGGTGGAAGGGTATTTTTACAATGGCCAACCAAGATAAAGGGTTGAACCACTATAGGTGTGTGTTATTCAATTGTTGTGGGTAATTAACATATTGAACGAGTGGCGCTGAATGGTCTTCCATTGGCAACGGGCTGGCGTGAATAGCCACAGCAGAAACACTTAAACAAATAGGAAATTACCACTTCCTTCACAACAAAGCAAAGTGCCTTTGTTTTGGTGCATTTCACAATTCAGACTTGACAAGACACCATGAATTATCCATAGCCACCCTTTGCTTAACATTGTAGCTTTCTCCATGGTGTATTATTTAAGCACTGTGACACTCGATGTGTTATTCGAGCACCACATTACCCGCAAATGCGGGCCAGAAATCAGCGAATTATTTAACTTGTAGGAAGGTGTCATGGTGTCTATTACAAATGAGTCCAGGTGTAGCAAATAGCATAAACACTAGGAGGCAGTCAAAACCGTGGCGTGTATACATACAGTACATAATACAGTAGAGTACAGGGTGTACGAAGTCTGTAAACTACGCACTTAATATACACAAAATACCACAGTAACATGCAATAGTAAACATAATTAAGCCAGTGACTGTGCAAAATGCATAAAAATATAAAGGAATATGTACGGTAGGGGGCAAGCCAGATTAAAACTGTACATTAAAGACGATATCTTATATTCTTGGGTCTTTCGGCAAAGTCACGTAGATGGTTATTATTTTAACCACCTACGTAGACTTTACCGAAAGACCCGAGATTATTCATTCGCGCGGTTACGAAAGCGTTGTCAAGAAGACGACGACTTCCATTTCTTAAAAAACTTCGTGTAATTATTACAAACAAAGCAATGCTAAACGTTCAATGTGTCGAATTGCGAATTCCAACCGCAGCCATCTCGGGCAGGGCATCTTCACGCAAACACCACGGTAACGCCCCAACCACAAGCAACATTGCCCCCATATTCTTAGGTGTTTTCGGTAAAGTCACTTTACCGAAAACACCTAAGAATATGATTCCTTGCAGTCACGAAAGCTTCAAGTCTAACATTGCCCCCCTTTGGCATTAAAGGCGGCCTCGCAGAGCCCACACAACACAACACAACGCACAAAAGGGCGAATAACAAGATTAATTAAAATAAATAACATCTTGGCCGAGGCTGGGAATCGAACCCCTGGGTAGCCTATAGCGAGTGAGACGACCCTCCCCAACCACGGGAAGCCAGCGAAGATGGTGAGAGAGACACAGCAGCGTCAACACCCACCCCCCATCCCGACTTACAAGCCAACACAGACGACGAACATCGCCAACAAACCAAACCGAGGCAGAGCCGCGCGGGGCTTTTGAGGGAGCGACGAGACCACAACGAAGTCGTCGTCGTCGAAGTGCGCCTATCGCTCACCTGCCTTTTGAAGACGTGAAACGGCGAAGAGGAGGAAGACGGACGGACGAGCGAGGACGACGACGATGAGGAGGAGGAAGCTCACGGAGACGATGACGACGACGTCGTCAAGATGGACTCTTTTAAAGGGAGCTCGCGGAAGCGCGCGCGCGCGAGCGAATCCCGTGCGCGCGATTGGTCCAGCGGGCACCACGTGACGGCGCGGTACGTTACCACAGTGGTGGGAGGGGCGCGCGCGGGCGAGCGGTGGGGGGTAGTGGGAGCGGCCATCTTTGTCAAGGAACAGCGAGGAGGGGGATGTGGTCAAGCGGTGGGGGTAGGGGAAGCGGCCATCTTTGTCAAGGAACAGCGAGGAGGGGTGGTCGTCAAGCGGTGGGGGTAGGGGGAAGCGGCCATCTTTGTCAAGGAACAGCGAGGATGGGGATGTGGTCAAGCGGTGGGGGTAGGGGAAGCGGCCATCTTTGTCAAGGAACAGCGAGGAGGGGTGGTAGTCAAGCGGTGAGGGTTGTGGAAGCGGCCATCTTTGTTAAGGAACAGCGAGGAGGGGTGGTGGTCAAGCGGTGGGGGTTGTGGAAGCGGCCATCTTTGTCAAGGAACAGCGAGGAGGGGGATGTGGTCAAGCGGTGGGGGTAGTTGCAAGCGGCCATATTTGTCAAGGAACAGCGAGGAGTGGTCGTCAAGCGGTGAGGCCGTGAGGGTAGGGGAAGCGGCCATCTTTGTCAAGGAACAGCGAGGAGGGGTGGTGGTCAAGCGGTGGGGGTAGGGGGAGCGGCCATCTTTGTCAAGGAAAGCGGGAGGAGGGGGAATGATAGCTTCCGGTCCGTGACGTCACACGGCACCCGTGTGACGTCACACGGCACCCGTGGTTTACTGTGGGGGAGAGGCTCAAAGCCCTTTTTGGACCCCAATGCATTTATTAACTTTCAAAGATGCGAGTTTTACAGCCACCCCGCCTCCGAATAAGCTTAGAGAGCTGAATTTGAGTTCAAAAGAGACTCGCAAACACACAGCACCATTTAACATGTAGGCTTTTGCGACCAGTAGTATTCATAATAAAGATTTTTGGGTTAGATCGCGTTATTATAAATGTGTTGCAACCCTCCACCACCGGACACGGCCAATCGGTCAAAAATGTGTCACGTTAACAAAACGCCAATTAGTTACTTCTTCAGCCCACCGGTGTGTTTGAAGAGTGAATCCACAACATTTAGAATTTGAGTTGTACGACGTTTCGCTGGTAATTACATCCAGCATCTACGGGCGATTTGCCAGAATAGTGAAGCCAATCCACGTGTTTCCGGTCTTACATAGAGCAGCAGGACGGCGTCATCGTTGTTGAACCCCATCACGTTTCGAGATCAGAGTCAGAGGTGGTAGGGGTATTGTAATTATGTAATAGTAGCCCACTTTAGCAATTGTATCTTGCTGTGGTTGTCCCACCTGATGAAGGACGCTTGTGTCGCGCCCGAAACGTCGTGATTTAATTTATTTTGTGCCTACGTGACTTTACCGAAAGAACCAAAGAGTATTATGTAATAGATCAGTCATCAGCCAGGAAGCGGATTATTAAGTAATACACAATACATATTGCAATTCTTTATAGAGGAGTCACATGCCAAGTGGCTGATGACTGATGTATTACATAATACTGGTAGGGACCTCCTGGTTACACCAGCCCACAGGGGATTATTGTGTCCGTCCGTCCGTCGTGCATCAAAACATGGGAGGGGTGGGGCTGGGTGGAGAGGGGAGGGTGGGGAGGGGCTGGGTGGAGAGGGGAGGGTGGGGAGGGGCTGGGTGGAGAGGGGAGGGTGGGGAGGGGCTGGGTGGAGAGGGTGGGGGGTGGGGCTGGGAGGGGTGGGGCTGGGTGGGGAGGGGCTGGTCACCCCGTGGTGCCCTTATAAAACTCAACGTTTAACCTACTCACGCCGGCTTGTGCCCGCCCTCACAGTCGGCCATATTTGCGGAATACACCACGCTGCCGTTGACCCTGCAGGCCATTGACCGAGCAACCCAACGTTCCTACCAGCTCCCTCCGCAGGAATGTGTTTGCAATACCCCCCCCCCCGCCTCTGATTTCGAAATGTGATGGAGTTCAACAACGATGACGTCGTCCTGCAGCACTATTTGAGACCAAAAGCAGGTGGATGTCTTCACTATTCTGGCAAATCGCCCGTAGATGCTGGATGTAATTACCAGCGAAACGTGCAAATTCTAAATGTTGTGTATTCACTCTTCAAACACACGGGTGTGCTGAATAAGTAACTAATTGGCGTTTTGTTAACGTGACACATGTTTTACTGATTGGCCGTGTCCGGTGGTGGAGGGTTGCAACACATTTATAATAACGCGATCTAACCCAAAACCCTTGATTATGAAACACACCACGTGAAAAATCCAACGCAAGAAAATCCGTGGGTTTGATATTCCACGAAGCTCATGGTGCCATCCCTAAACCGAATCCAATTCACAAACCACGGCAGTAGAGATTGCGGGGATACCCGATGCAGAGATTGAAAAAATAAAATTGAAACATTCTCCAGTGTTGCCGTAATGCCCGATCCGCAAATACGGAGGAGACAATCACATTGACGCATCGCTTGCTCCTCCTGGACGCGTTTATCTGTCTCGACCGTGCGAAATTGTAGTCGTGTCAAAAAGCTCAGCATCTCCATCAGCCATTCAGCCCCACGAGAGAAAGAAGATGCCTTACCAACATGCCCGCTCTAAATATGGCACGGCCTCTTCTGGCTCGGATTTAAAACATAAACATTTAGTAGGTTACCCTCCCACCCCCACTTGCTTGACAACAACAACAATAATACTAATGTAATAACCGTTTATTATCTCGTTCAAAGGGGCCGCCCATAAATGACGTCACGCGATTATGGACGATTTTTGCCCCCCCCCCCTCGTCACACGGCGTCACAAAAAGTCAGACCCCCCCCCTTCAAATATGACGTCACAAAGCTCTGCCCCCTCCCCCCAAGCCATATTTTCATTTTGAAAATAAAACATTCTTCAAATCGCTTTAAACTATTGTCATTGTAGTGCGTATTTAATGTGGCGCTGCACTCTGATGTTGTAGGAGTGTTGTTATAACAATTAGTGTTGCTATAACAATTTTATATTTATTTAAAGTTGCGCATTTTGATGTGACGTCACATTTCTCACCCCCCCCCCCCCCTCTCGTCAAACATCGTCACAAATGTCTGACCCCCCTCCCCTAGGTGCGTGACGTCATTTATGGACGGCCCCAAATTCGCGTTGAGTCATTCTCGCACATTTCGAACCCTCACGAGAGGGTAATTATTACAACGGCGGAGAGTTGCGACAGCGTGTCGACATTTTCGTGTGGGTTTTCTTTTAAACTTTAACCCGGTGGTTAAAGTTAATGGATTTAAATGTTGCCCCGTTGGGGGAGCAGCAGGAGGAGGAGGAGGGGGAGAGGGAATGGCGGCTGGGGGGGGGGTGTACGCGTCATGGGAAATTACGTCGACATAAACAATTTCGATTAAAAACACGCGGTAAGGCCTTTCGCGATCGATATTACCCATACAATTATCCGTAAATATACAACGCGTCGTTACTTATGCGATCTAAACCCTCTTGTTGTGCAACGAGATTTTTTTTAAACAAAAAAATCGGTTGCGCAACGCCGTGACGTCACAAAGGTGTGGGTGGGGGTGGGGGACAACGCCCCGACATTTGCTGTTGCCGTGGGGTCAGCGCGCGCTCTCCCTCGTTTCGCGTTCATTCGTGAAACGCCGTCGTGGTTTTTAATGTTAAATTTTTTAGTTATGAAAAAAAACAACCTGTGTTGTGTGTGTGCGCGCAGTGGCGCCAGTCGCTCACAACAACGAGCGGAGCGCCGGGCGGTTAAAACGCAGCAAGTTGGTACGGCAGGGGGTAGAGTAAGCTGGTAGTTCAACTATCGGTCATCGTCCAAAATCGCAGTGACGTCATTTATGGACGGCCCTTTACCCCCTTACTGCGTCACCAATAACCTCGCCATTCGCCACGAAGTGACGGCGGCGCCTGTGCCAGGCTAGGTGCACCTGCTGGGTCCGTCCTGAGACCTGTCAGCAGCAAGCCTTCGACACTTCACTTGGCCTCGAAATGCACCTAGCCTGGCACAGGCGCCGCCGTCACTTGGTGCCGAATGGCGGGGTTATTGGTATTGGTGGCGCAGTAAGGGGGTAAAGGGCCGTCCATAAATGACGTCACGCGATTTTGGACGATTTTTTACCTCCCCCCCCTTCGTCACACGGCGTCACAAAAAGTCAGACCCCCCCCTCAAATATGACGTCACAAAGCTCTGCCCCCCCCCTCCAAAATTAAACATGCTTCAAATCGCTTTAAACTATTGTCATTGTAGTGCGTATTTAATGTACCACTGCACTTTGATGTTGTAGGAGAAAACATTTATAAAAAAGTATATTTAATTAAGTAGAACGTGTTGTCTATATTTAAAGTTGCGCATTTTGATGTGACGTCACATTTCTACCCCCCCCCCCCCTCGTCACACATCGTCACAAATGTCTGCCCCCCCCCCCCCAGGTGCGTGACGTCATTTATGGACGGCCCTGTAGAGCGTGGTGCATCGGGCAGCAGTCATCTCGGTCAGTCGACCCATGGCGCCTGCTGGGTCTGCCCCGTGATCCTCCTGCCAGCGGGCGTTCGACACTTCGCGTTGGTCTTAACGTGGTGCACCTAGCCTGGCACAGGCGTCGTGGCGACGCCACCGCCACTTGGTGGCGAATGGCGGTTGTCGGTGGGCCTGTGGTTAGCCGACTGCGATACGAACCCGGCGATCCGAGTTCGATTGCATGCGTGTACAGGATGTGGGACTTCTTTCTCACCGTACTCATCGGAGGTCGCGGGGGGGACAACAAACTAAACACAATAGGTTCGATGACGACTATCTGAACCGGTTACGCGCCCTCCCCTAGATCGATTCGGCCTCAAATGAGTATTTTGTACCTGGGGCGGTAGTTAAACATTGGCACTTAGGAGACAAAGGCAGTTGTGGCGCTGGTCACCCACCCACCGCTCGTGTGCCGTGCCGGCCTTCATAGATGCTGGCTAACAGCACTTGCACAAAATTCTGTTAGGGCTATACGGGGGGTCTTTCTGTCTTATCCTTACATAAATGCGTTTATTATGCACTACATCCTTGTTTTGATCATATATCAATACATTTAAGATGTAGCGGATGACAATGGAAAAGCAAGATACGCTTTATTTAAATTCTATCCATGATTTTATTTTATTTCTACCTACGTGACTTTACCGATAGAACCAAAGAGTATGGATTCCTGCAGTCACGTAAGCTTCAAATCAAGATAGAATTATATCGCTGAAAGATGTGACAAAAATCCGTCAAAATGACAGGTTTTATGGTATTGGTCGTTCTAATATATAGGGATGAGTTTCTGATTTTAAAATACCAGGTTTCATATTCTCAAAGAAAAGCCCTTTTATTTGCCAGGCAAAGCCCACTGGATTCCTGAACAATACTAACATTAGTTGCATTCTGTTTTCATGGTATGTTGAGGGTACCAATCTAACTCTTGAATATGCTGTACCTTATTGCAAAAGAAGCAAGTATTTGTACAGATGCTGTTGTGGCTAGTAAAAACTGGCCAGTGTAGAGGGCAAATGTAATTAGTTCAAGTAGGGTGCAATTTTGAGCAGTTTTAACTGGTTTTTGCATGCACGTAAAAAGATGGACTTGGATAGCAACACAATACTGGTTTGAAAAAGGTTTAATTCTGGGTTGGTCAATTGGCTGGAATGCAAATAAGACGTTAAATGGAAAACTATATCGCATTCATTTACTGCACAACTACCTTTATCCGTGAAAAAACATTGCAAATATGATGCTGTTTCACAAAGCTGAATGCGAAAACCACATAATAGAAAGAATAAGGACAATATAAGATTTCACTGACCCTACATCTGTGGATAATTAGAATCACGGCTAATAGGGTCCTAGATAAAAGGAGCTTTATTAGATGTCACAAAAGGTCAGATACTTGTAGTTTAATAAGTTGTAAAATCTTATATATAAACATGATTGAACAGTGCAAGATCATTCAGTGGTTATTTTTTTATTTTAAAATGCTGTAAGTCAAATTTCCATAAATCCAACCAAGACCATTTGCATTCTTTCCCACTTCCTTCAGGTTGGACATACCTTATTCATTTTCATCATTAGCCACGTTAAAACATCCTTGTAAGTTCATTCATAGTTCGAGTAATACTAATTAAACTTATAATAGCAATAAGCCACAATTTTTATTTTTTATTTTATGAATTCGATGTTATCAAGGATAATTTTAGATCTTTTTTTTTAATCTGTCGAATTTAAATTATGTTATGCATTTGTCTGCAAACTCAATGTCACGTGACCGCTTTTGTTAGTAAAAAGCTTGGAAGGGTCATCACATTGGTGGCACCACTTGCAGTGTTTGAATCGGTCCAAAACAAATAAAAATCACTTTGTCAAAGATTCAGATGATTATGAAAATAAAATGCGGGTACCCACACAATTGACAAACTACTGTACTTGAACATATGTACTAAAACACAGGTGGATTCTTAAATACATATTTATGACATAATGTGCATGTACAGTCCTATGTCAGCCCACTTCTGGATGAGATTCTTCCCACACTGTGGATAGTGGGGATTATTTGACCATACTTCACTACGCTGGTCAGTGCGAGTTGGCGATGTCAGCGAGCATAGGTGTGTGAACATATAAGCACAGTACAACGATGCCATTTGCTGCACTCCCCTTTGTTGCCCACCACACTGCCCCACTGCTGATGAACATCTCTTACACATGGTTGCCCATCCAAGCTGTATACCATACTTATCTTGGGATCAAACGTCATGGGATCAAGCACATTCTGGGTGAATTGGTCTTAGGACTCCAGAACAATACTATGATTAATGATATTCTGTTTTCATGAAATGCTGATGGTCTCAATCTAACTCTTGAAAAAAGTGCAACTTATGTGACCCGTCCCGACTGGGCATCTGTGAAAAACTGGTTTTTAGCTCATTGGACTCCTCCAATGAGCTGATTCTGAAAATAATGACACACTCGTACAGCTACTATTGTGGCGAGTAAAAACTGGTCAGCGTAGAGGGCAAATCTAATCAGCTCAAGTCAGGTGCAATTTTGAGCAGTATTAACTGGTTTTTGTGTGCACATGAGAAGATGGATCTGGATAGCAACACAGTTGACATCTTCAAAATACTGGTTTGGAAAAGAGGGTCATAATTAGGAGTTGGTAAATTGGCTGAAACTAAATAGTAAAGTCTTAATATTGTAACATGCAAATAAGACATAAAATGTATTACATTTATATCATTAATTTGCCGCACGACTACCTTTATCCTTGTAAACTTTGTAAATAGAATGCTGTTCCACAAAGCAGAATGGAAAAACAATAGATAATAGGAAGACTAAGGATGTAATATGATATTCTGACCTGAGAGCTGTGGATAATTATATTCATAATTAATAGGGTCCTGGATAAAAGGAGCTATATGAGATGTCATAAAAGGTCAGATACTTTGAGTTTAATACAATGCTGTTAAAGCTTAGATATAAACATGATCGGACAGTTTAACATCAATCAGTGGTTATTTTTTTTATTTTAAAATGCTGTATGTCATATATCCATAAAACCAACCAAGACCATTTGCATGTTTTCCCCCTTCTTTCAGGTTGAACATACCTTATTCATTTTCATCGTTGCCCATATTAAAATATCCTTGGAAGTTCATTAGTAGTTATACTACTACAACTTATAATAGCAACATGCCACAATGCCTTATACTGGTAGTAACCTCCTGGTTACACCAGCCCACAGGGGATTATTGGGTCCGTCGTGCAGGGAGGGGCTGGGTAGGGAGGGGGGTGGGGAGGGTTGGGCTGGGTGGGGAGGGGCTGGGTGGGGAGGGTGGGGAGGGGCTGGGTGGGAGGGGTGGGGCTGGGTGGGGAGGGGCTGGTAACCCCGTGGTGCCCTTATAAAACTCAACGTTTAACCTACTCACGCCGGCTTGTGTCCGCCCTCACAGTCGGGCATATTTGCGGAATACACCACGCCGCCGTTGACCCTGGCCATTGACCGAGCAACCCAACATTCCTGCCAGCTCCCTCCGCAGGAATGTGTTTTTATGAATTCAAAGTTTTGTAAAGTTCGACCCATCTTTCTTTAACATTCTACTGAAGTAAAAAATACCACTCATTAGTATTTATCATGAACTATGTCCAACAGTGGACTCCTTGATCAAAATTGAGCTGAGAACGTGGAGCCATATATGCTGCATATACGCAAGTATTGGAGATAAAGAAATTTGTGCTGTATATATATATTTTTTACGTATATTTCAATACTTTAATAAGTGCATTTGGGTTACTCTAGCATTCAGATCTGACTACACTCCACCAGTGGCAAATCTGGAGAGATACGGCACCATAAACATGCCATTAAATGTACAATTCATCCACATAGCTTGACCTATGCACAGTATAGTATTTGATGGGTAATATAATGTTTTAACCAGTTCAAAAGTAATTATAAAGTGGGTCCTCATTTATCACTACTGGCCACACTTAGGGAGGATAAAGTATACATTTGTTTGCAGATTGTGATGCCTTACCTGTTATCATGGCAAGGCAGTACAATAATACACAGCGTGTTATGTCATAATAGATTCCGTTTTTGCTAACGTGTACAATATTTACACCAGATGTTATAAAATGTATGAAAACCAATTTTTCATTATGAAAATAAACACCTTGTAAAATGACAACAGCCTCAAAGGCGCATGCTGTACCAGTCTGTTCTTATATATATATACCAGATAATGCTGCTTAGTTGAGAGATTTAGTGAGATTATCGATTTAACATGATCACTTTCATGCTGTGTTTGGATGATACTTAAAACTATTATAACTACACAATTCCTTGAGCGGATTGAATCTAAAGTATTTGGATAGAGCAGCAGGAAAAACTACTTTAAAAAGGCAATTCGAAATGTCATTAAGACTTGCAAATATGTATACATATAATTTCAAGTTCAAAATTTGTATCCCTTTAAAGTACTGTACCGCATTAGAATCAAATTCATATGAAAGTCTTACATTTAATGCCGCATCATTTTTCTGATTCTGAAATATAACATTTTCGGGGAAACCCGACTTCGAATGTTACATGAAAACTGAACCTGTCTTAAAATGTACTGCAAACTCAGATTATTTTAATCCGAGAACTTTATAAGAGAACGATTGTGCAATAATTCCAGTGGCTAGCTTTGCATCCAGTTTAGAGAGACGTGCTTTCCGTTACATGTGTCATTAGCTCAAGCTGCAGTACTCAAGCGTATTTTCAAACTGGACCAAGCTCAAACTCAGCTCAGTCCTCTGATAGCTCCCAAGATTCCGTGGCCACCTGCTGTCCTGCCATCTCCTCTGCTTCGTGCTCTGCCTCCGTTGTTGAGAAATACTTCTTGGCCTTGCCAATGAGCCGGAATCCGGTTGCCGCCATACACAGAGCCCTGCCTCCATACTGCAGCACTGCCGTGGCTGATGGGCCCATGGGGGAAAGCAGGGCTTTGGCCGAACTGCCTCGCACGGGGCTCTGAATGGGGCGAGTTATGGGGAGGGGGGGGGGTGCAAACCACATGTTAAACTAAACTATGTTTTATTTTCCCAGGTAAGGTCCACTGAGCTATATAGCTGTTTTTCAGAAGCGACCTGGCCACAAATGATGGCCCAATTAAGTGGCTTATCACGTGGACATTTATAGCAGCCAAATACTGTACTCTTAAAGGAACGATTCGAAATGTGGAGCGAAAAACCCGGAGGACTAGGAGAAAAATCCACACGACCACGGGGAGAACATGCCAATTCCAAATATACAGGCGTCAGGGTCGGGATCGAACCCACGACGGACCTCATGTATACAAGGCGATGGAGATAACATCTCACCACCATCACAACAGATTGCTTGATAATCACAATTTTGAAATGCGTGACCTGTATGCGTAACAAATGAAAATCCTGTATTATAGTGGCCAATTTGTATGCGCGTTGACTTACTTGTTTTGAGGTTGTTCGTGGATGAGGTTTTTTTCCACTCACAACTGAATGTTTCCCTGAAATTCCGCTGATGTTTTTAGATGCCGGGTGAAAAGGGGCACTTGGTGCTTGTGGCATTTTCGAATGTGGACATGGTGGCTCTAATCAAACAGATCAAACCATTATTCACAATGTATTCTGTATTGTGCTATATTATATATACTGTACACAAGTCACTTTAATGGTGAAATCATCTGCTGGGCTCCAAAGAACGCATATGTTATATACATTATAAACGATTTAAGGGTACACTGCTAAAGGATATACATTGATAATGTTGTGGAACGAATTGATAGGCACTTGCATTAACACACACACACACACATTAACACAATTTCCTACCTGTAGGTGGTTGTTGATGCTGAGCATGGAACGCCCAGGCTGCCTGGTCTGGGAAATAGTTTGGCCCTTGCGCCATCAGTGGAGCAGATTTTGGCGGTGGATACATCGCAGAGTGTTGAGGGAAGACCTTACCAGCAGGCGGTGGATAAACGTGGCCACATGGTGGAGCTACCATCCCGTCTGGCCCGATGAACCCTGAATGACTCGGACCAGCGAAGCCACTTACTCCCGGTGAATGGATATATTTGATGGAGGGATCTTCAGCCAAAGCATTGCCCCCAGAGAGATGATGGCAAGGCTGGCTGGAGCTCGCAGGGTACGCTGTGCCTGTGTACACGGGGCTGTTTGGTGCCGCAGAATAATCCGAACGTCTCACTGGGAAGGACATGGCACTCGTGGATGATTGATAAAATGTGGTTTTGGAAAGGTAGAGCATTTCGGTTCCTGGTGGATAAGGGGCACTTATCGTGGCAGAAGGTTGACTTGGATTATTAGCATTGCTGGGCACATTTTGGTCAGGATGGTTTGCAGTTGGGTAAACCAGGCTGTACGTTGGAGGCTGGGCCATGTTGCCAGCAAGAGAGGCTCGTGCTTTTAAAAGTGAGTTGGTACAGACTTCACTTGCTCCACCTGTTGAAGCTACATTCAAACAAAGGGTTATTATTGTCTGTGTGTGTATGGCATATTCTATATATGAATACTGAATATTATAAAGCAAAGCCTCATACAAGAACGTCTGCTGCATTTTAAAACATTGAAAACTGTGAATGTGTATGCATTTACATTTGAAAAGTTTATCTGAAATATCAAAGGGATGTAGGAGAGTAACGATATAGCAACCCGAGGACTGCTTTATGTTACACAAGTACTTTTTAGGCAATAGCAATGAACAATACATTCGGGATCAATAACATTTTTTATTACATTTTGGGAGAAGAAAAATCTGTGACATTTTAACAATTATAAACATTATTAGCTCATGACGTCCATGGCAAAAGATGTGTATAAAACGGTATGGTGTACATTCATATACATTATTGTAAGTTTTTTTTAATATTTGGCATATCATTCCAAGTTCAAATTCTATTCAGTGGGTCAGTGAAACATGGGTCTTTAGAGATATGGATGTCACAGCACCGCTTTGCATTACATTACCGCATGTACATACTAAACAATACTGTATCACGTTTAAAATCACAGATTTGATGCAAATCCGTCAATATGGAGCTGAAATCACATTGTAACAATAACGAAAGTATTCAATATAAAAAATGGTAATTAAAAACCAAAAAACGACATTATTAACAATATAGCTAAATCAAGTTCATTACTGTAATTACAATTCTTTTAAGTTTCCACAATTGCACTTTCCACAAAATAACCTGCGGACATAGAATTCATTAAACATTAAATATCGGATATAAAGTGAACTTTTATTTTCCAGATTTGCCACCAACACGATACTTACACAAGGGTGTCTGGAGCAAGGCAATTGGAGAGTGACTCTGCTAAGGAACACGCGGCTGATTTCTATAAGAACACGACTGCTCTCATTTGAGTTTAATGGTTGAAATAACTCAAGCACCGAATCGCGCCAGTGTATTGTGCTGCAGCAAAAGAAAATAATGATAAATGTGCATTTCAAACCACCATCCACTGCACTGTGGATTTACAGCAGTTTCAATTGTTATCGTGCCAAACAGAGCATTTGATTACACAGCGTTTGGTGGTAGATTTAGGGACACACAAAACAGATGCACACTGTGCTTTGTGTTTGTTCCAGAACCATTCGTGGAAAGTCAGCTCAGTTTTTATTATACAATTTTTTTTTACAATTACATGTGTGCGTTATGCTTAAACTTAGTCGCTACGAATGTAATTTTGTACAATAGCAAATAAAGGTTTAGGAAAATAAATATATAAAAAAGCCTTAATTTTGGCCAGTAACTGTTACATTATTATTTGCATTTTATTTATATAAACATTTAAAGTTTAAGAATATAACGGTATCTTAATAATATGTACAGTACAAAATGAAGCTGAACTTTCTAATTTAATGGTCTTGTATTGTACTTTACACATTGTAGAAAATAAAACAAAGTATTTTTGCATTGACCCCTAAATTACACAAGAGAAAGTGTGTACATCATTTACTCGGAGATTGTAAATATTTAGTCCTGATACATAAAACTTTTTTATTGGATTTTCCCACTCATGAACTTGTAAAATGGTTACGGCATAAGACCTCAAAATAATGTCTTAAATCTTTCATGGGGTCCCCATAAATCTTGCCTTGTTTTACAAAGTCAGAAAGTTTGTAATCTATATATATATAAAAGGCAAATTTGCGAATATGTGTGTCTGTTCAAAATGTTTAGCATATTTCCCGACATGCAACAAACTTGAAATTTGTGTGGCCTCTTTGCGAATCCACTGCTGGATTCGGGCCCTCCCCATGCCGTGGAGGTCACCGGGGGTCATTTGAGAACACTTCATTCACAGTGGTCAATGGTGGTTTGGTGAAGGTGGACAACATTGACGTGGGAGCTCGTATGCTGCAGTGCCCTCTGCTGCCAAATATGTATCCCTACGGCCTGTTATGCTTCGTTATCACCCGATCGCTATCAAAGGCTCAACTCCACTTTTTTTCTAAGATTTGGTGAAAGTGGGCACACGCACCCCTGGTCATGTGGTCACTGGCAGCTCTGAAACAATCCTTTAAAAAAGTTTAAGTCTCTCACAGGCGCTTGCAACACTTACACTTCTGAATTAAAGCTATCAACGATTATTGTCATAACATTTTATAAGACATGTTCTGGATGCACAGTCCTGTAATATTTTTTTATTGCTCGCAATCGGCTGGATTTTCAAGCAGGAACTAATTTAGGACACTGTTCTTATGAAACGCAACCTTATTATCCTATTTCTTTTAAAAGTGAAGTACACTTTTCCAGAGAAGACATACAATATTGGATTTACACACATGTGCAACCCCGCCATGGGCTTCGACACAGTATAAATCGCGTTTACAATTTCTCTAATGTGGCACTTAAGCGGGGAATAGGACAGCGTTTCAAGTCGAATGACACGCATTATGTGATGAGGCAGGAAGGAAATGGTGAACATGATGATGGTGGCGGCTATAAGCCTGGCCGATCGACTTCTTGCCGGCTGCATCGTTCCACGGCTGCGCCGGATTGTCCTTACAATGACACACTGGCACAGCACGATGACCGAATAGGGCATAAGGAAGCCAAAGACGACCAGGCACCAGCTGTAAGCAAACTCCTTGTTCTCATACAGAGACCTCACCAAATCGTGGCACAGTGCGGTTCCATTTGAATCGGTGGTCTGCTCTAGGGTCGCCACCTTGAACAATCCCAGGGTCACAGCGAGCCACATGAACACGCAGCTCAAAATGACCACGCGCCTCCGAAGTATTTGTCGAGCGCGCACCGGCGACACGACCCCGACGCAGCGATACACGCTCATCCACATCAGGATGGTGATGCTCAGGTAGAGGTTCTGGTAGAATGCGAAGGTCGTGAACTTGCAGCGAAAGATGACTTGAGGCCAGGTCATTGGCGATTGGTCAATGTAGTTGTACATGCAGATGGGCAGGTTGAGCAGGTAGAGAAGGTCCGACAGCGTCAGGTTGAACAGGATGATGGTGTTGCAGGACCAGGGACGGGGCCTGCCTCGGTAAGCCAGGAGGGCAGTGCAATTGAGAGAAATTCCCACCACGAACACAATGCCGTAGAGTGTGGGCAACACGTACGTTTCCATAACCTTTTTTAAGCTACAACACTCGACCAAAGAATCCTGAAAACGGGAAGGATTCGCTCTGTCCATGGCATTCCCTGTAATGTCTAAACGGCATTCATGCATGCAACGACAGTGTCACAAGTTAACAAACGAGAAAAGGTGAGGATGGAATGGATTAATTTAATCTGATGTGAATTCGACAATTAAATTAGCTTCAGTGTTCCATATGGGTATTGTATATTGATTCTAAAACATTTACATATTTTCAGATATTCATAAAAACAAAGTAATATTATTCATTGAATTAAACTACTGGCATATACATTGGTTGCCCACATTAAATATGCAATGCATTTAAATGCACGTCAATAGCCATCATACGTCTGGATAATTATTATTATAGATGAACGAAACATATTTGTATTGAATGAATAACCTCACAATGTGTGAAGTAATTTTCCTACACAGAACGAAAGCACACTTATAAGTAACTAGATTTAACTTTTCCTCACCTGAGCTCTTGATTATGTTACAGAAGTCATGATGCGCCATATTACTCGTGGGCAGTTAGTCAATTCAAACCGATGTACCACAAGATCTCCGTGCTGGGGACTGGATACATGAGGTGACAAGCTCAAGCTTCACGTCATTATATATTTGTGTGCCTTAAACAAATGTTATATTTGCTTTTGTTTAGTGTCTGCAATAAACTGGGATTGCAGCCTGTGCGACACTTTTACAGCTGCCCGAATACGAGGGAAAGGTGTGCGTTCGTAATTAAAATATGAGATTAAATTAACATGAATGATTGGAAAACATAATATATCCTCGTAGCTGCCAAAGCCACCCATTGTAAAAAAAAATACAATGAAACTTTCCCTCTGTCAGCATTCATGTGAGAGACACTATTGGCAGACACTATTTATGCCGTTTTAGAACATTACTGAGGTTTTCCACACAGATAGCCTCTGATAATAAAATAAATGTCACCAGCTCGGGTGATACCTCTTATCTGCAAAACACATGAATACAATCTTACGAATTTAGCACTTTCACGAGATCATCTCTGGGCGATTTATCTGCGGATAAATGCGAATTACAGGGTGGATTTGCCAACACTTATGGACGACGCCTTCTGTAGATCGATTGGAGGAGTCTATACAATGAAGGAGTTTTTCCTTGAGTATTCTCATTATAGACATTATAGACAGTGTAATGACAAAAATTGTTCACATTTAAATCTCTGCATGACCTACGTCGCCCCCACATTCTATGTCGCATGTTTACAATAATGCACCGGTTTAATAGCCAACTACAACATGGGCAGCACTGTTGAACTATTGTCATCATATTCACAAGTGGGGGTAGATGTTAACTTCTTTCTTACCGCACGTAGCCAGCCATGATAATCGGAGGTGTGGGGGAAGGACAACAGACCAAACACAAACAGTAGTTCTAAAGAAATGTGATGTCCATGACAATGGCTTTCCACCTTTTTGTGATCATCAGTGCTTCTCATCAAGATTGCCATTAAACTTCTCACATTTGTCCCACGAAATGGTCCTTTTCCTCCCTCGTCCCTTTTACGTTTCCGTTTACGTTTCCGTTTTCCCATATAGGGTTATCTTTTTAATTTCTCCAGCTGACTAACTAATACATTTATAACAACGAATACATGTAATTATCTACGCACGTATTTACGTAATTCCTTGTGCAAATTTTTCAGACAAGAGGACTTGTATGAAGGAAAAAGCAAGCAAGATTTTTCGTAATGTAATCAAATTTTTGGAAAACACATTGTTAGCTCACATTTAAGATGAAATGCAATTAAAAACAACACTAATTATTAGTTACACAGCAGTGGTTGACGTGACAAACGATTGTGTATAACAACCGTATAATAACTTATCATAAATATATTGGTATAAATGTAAGTTTTAAGTGTTGTTTGTGTGTTAAGTAAGCACGGTATTGTGACATGCTCCCACATTGCAAACCGTTTAATTTCCAGCAAATAACAGCTCACATTATTTCCACTTATTACTGCACACATCATTTTAGGTCAACCCCCCCTCCCTCCCAGACATGATGTCGTACTTGCTCTATAACGATAAAAAAATAAACATTGACATACGTTTTCTTGGCGTTATGAAACACATGTTTTCAATCCAATTGCTGCATTGTCTCATTTTAGATCATTTAATATCCGGAATTGCCTTTGCAGAGTAAAGAGAAAATTGTCTTTACATAACCTGCACAGAATAAACAGCATGTCCCACGAGAAAAAGGTTACCTTTTTTCATTGCTGTGGTTTTTGGTTTATGTGGCCTTAACAACAGCGTGAAATAACTAAATTAAATATCCACGGAGGGGAATAACACCTTGAAATTATACCAAACTAAGTAAACATAGATATATTTTACATTTATTACAAAAAATCAAACACAGAGTATTTATATTATATCCTGCACTGTTAAGTGGAGTATGCCACAATTTGCATTACATACACATCTCACCATCCACCACTAAATGAGTTAGCCCCCGATCTCCCGAAAAAACCTACGGGAGGCACTAAGTCAATCCACCACAGGTTAACCAAAGCAATATTTCTCGACATAGAATTTTAAGTTGCTATTCTTCCAGCCACACACAAAAGGGAATGGCCAATGTTGTAAAAAATATGGCACGGCTCTTGGCACTGCCATTGGTAAGCTGCGCGACAAGTTGTGTAAGCGATTGGTGCTGGGGTTTTTTTTATGAGCGTGAAAATGATGGATGTCTTATGTAAAAATGTTACACTAAGTAGCAGAACAAGCTCACTTGAAGGCACTTAAGCATTGACCTGATGCAATGCTTACACCATTAAAACACATGAATAGACCAATGTAAAACACACTACACCATGTAGTAATATGAACTCAACAGCAAACATAACGTTTATAAAGTGTACTTTATTGTACTCATAACATCAATAAATGATAGCTTCCATCAGATATTAAAAATATAGGACTTCATAAGGCACATCAAATTCTATCCTTTTCACTTTCCGATGGGCAAGGGGATTTTTATTTCCTATTTTTCTCACCCCTGTCCCTGCAATGTGGATCCATCTAATATCTCCGCGAATTATTACCATCCCAGTAATGTCAATGTCAAATGAAAGTATGATCTAACTTGAGTCGAAACAACTAGAAAATTTAGTGGTTATGTTTGCGCCTTCTCGTATTTGTGGAGGGGGGAAATTTATAATTGCAGCTCTAGAGAGCCCCTCTTAGAGGGTAACTGGTCTACTCTTCCAAGTTGGCCAGACGACTTGGAAGAGGTGAGAGTACCCACACTTTACCCCACCACATGCAACCTACTGGGGTCAACCAACTGTTCTGTACCCATTCACACTGCTGTGTAAGAGGCAGGGGAATTTTGCGAAACTTGCACCATCATCTCAACTGCTGTGCCGGGACATCTAATCAAAGGGGCGACCTCTGCATTCCAAGTCCAGTGTGCAGATCGTTTCCAGAAGCAGCACCATAATTGTAGTCGTAGTAAAGACTGTTAATGTGAGTAATTACAATGCATTTATAAATCGATAAAACACTGTTTAATAATTGCTCAATTTGCCTGCATAAATATACAATCATAAGACATGAAACGTTCTTAAAATGGTACTGTAGTTCATTTACTTATGTTATGTGCATGTGTTTTGATAACATACCCAAAAACAATATGTAAAGCTATATGTAACGTGTATGCAAATTCTTGATGTCAAATAAGTAATTAATGAAGTTGAATACAAACAAAAATTCAATGATGCAAGTTAAATGGATAGTTGTGAGAAATAAATGGCTTTAGCTTACGACAATGTGTCTTTGGCAAATACATGCATTCCAAATGCTAACTGAAAATAAGATAATGCTTTAAATACATTTTAAAAACAGAATTAACTATAAATATTGTGCTGTCGTATTATAGCAAATCAAAGGTGTAAAGTAGCAATTGAAATCTTCTTGGTTCTTTCGGTAAAGTCACGTAGAAGGGAAGTAATAAAATAATAAAAATAAAACATAATAAAACATTATTATTTTATTACTTCCCTTCTACGTGACTTTACCGAAAGAACCAAGAAGATGAATCCCTGCAGTCACGAAAGCTTTAAATCGAAAATCATTTTATTATGTTTTATTTTTATTATTTTATTATTTCCCTTCTACGTGACTTTACCGAAAGAACCAAGAAGATGAATCCCTGCAGTCACGAAAGCTTTAAATCGAAATTTAGCAATTGAAAGTTAAACATCGAGATCAAACGTAAAGTTGATCAACGTTAAACATTGAGTTTCGTATGCAAAATAAATGTATGCCGCTGACATTTGCAATAACATTCGTACACATGTTGTTATTGGGCACAAGTTGCACGCTAAAATATTTTGCAATGCATAGTTGTTTGTGAGTGTAACTCGACATGAAAAAATTGCATTGTCACATGTACAATAAACATGCATCGGGAAAAGAAATAAACAAACCACGTCGTTTTTAAAACAGAGAAGTACTGTCAAACACCAAATTCAACATTTTATTTCACAACTTTTTGTAAATCCACGGATATATGTATGAAATTAAGCATTCTGTGCCTTTCTCACACGGGCAAAAGTACTGTATCGTGTGCTTCTTATTTAATTGTCTCAACTAGTCCACAAATAAACTCGTAAGACGACGACAGGAGAAGAATCGCCGTCTAAGAATCTCAGCTTCCATTCTGCTCAGCTGTCATTCTACTCGGGCATTGGAGTTAAGCTACTTAATCCGAGCCCCCAAGTCACAGAATCAAGCTGGAAGTCTTATAAACAGTGGATGAATTAACAATACAATTTTTTTAAAATATGAAAATCGCCCCACTCTTAGTTCATGGCTATAATTTTCAAGACAGTGTTCGTGTTTTATTCCATCATTTAAAAAAATACACTTTTCAGCTTCAATTAAACATTTTTCGTTTTTTAAAAGTCACTCACTAAGTGTGTGGACACTCCACAAGAGCATACCATAACATCCCTAATCAAATATACCTGGGGTGTCTCTCTCCCGTGTAATCGCAGCAACTTCTAGAACATCTCCTCCTCTGAGCTTGCCGCTTACTTGGGGGACACCGCTTTCAGCTCGTAGCCAGCGGGCGGTTGCAGGCGCACCTTGGCGTGAGCGTCGCAGTAGATCTGCCCGTCCACAAAGTAGAAGCCCTTCTGCTTGAGGTTCATTCCACAGTCACCGCACGTGAAGCACTCGGGGTGGTGGGGCTTATCCCGGGCTCTCACCACGGGGCCTCTGTGTACGTCACACACACACAAACAAACAAAACAGGTCACCGAGATCACGTTTTGCTCCAGGCCAATGAATAGAAACAGATTTCAATTAGGATCATGGCCGAGCGGTTAAGCATTTGCTGCTTTTTGCGCCGACTGCTGCATAGTGGGTGACCAAGATCCTGTGATCCTTATTTGAAAGAGAGAGTAGGAATCATAAATGCCGGCATTCCAGAATCCAATTTACTAAAATGTGGAAAAATATCCAGAACGAAAAAAAAACACGGGAACATTATCCCCTACTGGAAAACTTTGACCATCTGTCAAACAGTGCGGCCATTATAACTTTGTAGGTGAAGTATGGGATAAATGCCAAATGTACTCCAGGAATTATAATCATTCTATCAATAGTCCAAGTTAAAGTCAGCATGGACGTTTCATGGCGTAATTCATAAAAAGTCCAGTATATGATTGCAGAAGCACCAATAAAACCATCAACTACACAGTAACGAACCGCTGTGAACTCTGAAAATTGAATGGAGGCCTTGGAGCAATCTACCATGATCTGGCTAACTAATACTCATCTTATACGTTGCTGGGTTTACACTATTCATTCTTTTATTATTTACATTTTAAAACGATTACCAGTTCACTTAATATAAATGAAAGAATGCATATGTTTATCTTTTTGTTCATGTTTTGAATAATCCAAAGATAAATGGCACAACATTTTACATTATGTGAACTCTACAAAGGTTTTTAAATAATTGCAACCATTTGGTGGCTGTGGTTCCTTCTGTTAAGGGAATTTGCATAAAACACAGCTAGCATTAATGAATATTTGTACCATGGAAAAAATTTGACCATTTACAAGATGCATTCCCATAATGTGCTTTAAATTACGAACGTAATTTTTTTCAAACAAAGGTGTACTAATTATTACGACATATTCCATCTTAAATACAGCTGCTAGTGAATTATAAGGCAGGATATATGCAGACCGATGCAATGCCACTGGGTAGTGGGTCACTTACACAATTCCATTGCCACACTTGGAACAAATAGGCAGCTTCTGCACTCCACCCACGTCTGCTCCCACTTTCGTAACAGGTGCCTTCACACTCCGTATGCCCACAGTACGTTCAGAGCCTGTGAACATTCAGCGACACACTCACAATGTAAATAAAAACATGCACCCCCCGTTAAAAATGTACAAAGTACGAGCGATAGGAGAAAGGGGGGTACAGATATTCCACGGATGACAAGCCCCGGGGCAAGGTGCCCTCGAGATAATGGGAGAGAGAAGGGCGATTGCACTCAATGCCCCCCCCGACTCACGTGGGGGTAATGATTGGGAACGTGGTATTTTTAGGGGGAGGGGAAAGAGAGGAAAGGTGGTGGGAGGGGAGAATATACTCAAACAGAACAGCAAACCAAAAAAATAACACGCATGCGCCAAGTGAACTTGTCAAAGAACATGCACCTCTAATCCCTCGGTAAAATACTCAGATGCAGATAGTTGAGCCATGACTGTCATTGAGGTGACATTCGAGGTGGCAGAGTTGACATGTCTATGCCAAATACTCTTTTTAGGCCGAGACGCCTTAAAATGGAGGGCCACAAAAAAAAACTATTTTTACTGCTGTCCATGGCCTGGAATTACTTTCACTTTGCTGGTATTCTACTGCGGTGCATTACATCACCACTGTTACACAGCCACACAGTCGTGTATTGATAGCACTTTTGCCAACCCACTGTTGGGGAAGGGCCTCGCCCCAAGCTGTACAGGGGTTATTTCAAAATGCGTCACCCGATTCGTCATTGCGAGTTGGTGGAGGATGGGGAGCATCAATTTCGAAACAATACAGTACAAGAATGGATGTTTCTGCACCACCATCTGCTGCCACGCCGTGGCCTATAACACACGTTTTTAGGCAATGTGATCTCCCATTCAAGCATTACCCCACCCTCAACCCTGTTTGGCCTTTCGAGATCTGATGAGGCAGAGCGCATTCTGTGCGAATTGCTCATCACCACATAGTTTCACGTAAACAGATTGCGCAGTGAGCACGGGGATTAAATTGGATTAAGGGTTTCAATACGCTCTTAAGCCTTGCCTGCACTACGAGTAATGCAACTGTGGACATGAGCAATTACACCCCATGCAGCTACACCACTGCAAAACTTTTTTCTACGGAATTTGCCCACCTAGGCAGATGTGCGATCGCACCCCCCCCCCCCCCCCCCATTGTCATATAATTGTGATCTTCCGAGTGTGCGCGTGCGTATGTGTGCAGGTCTCCCACCACCTTGGGCATCCTCCAGCATCTCCTGCAGCCTCTGGAAGGAGCCGGACTGTTTCGGCCCGTAGCCGCCCTCTTGGTTCTCTTGCCTCAGCTTGTACACCTCCGAGTCGGCGAGGAGTCCACCCTTGAGGGTTGGGCTGTGTGGCTCGCTGGAACACGCGTCGAGAAATGTGGTGCAGACATGGAAAGTATAACCGTGATCACAATGTTCGCTTCACTTGCTCAAGCCTTGTGTAATTTCTGGAGAGTGCAGGAGGCTACCTAATTGATCCTGCCGTTATTGTGGAATATATTAATGTTGACAAAAAAACTTTGCCCAATGAAGAACACTCTGATTAAGGAATATATACGAATAGTGTACTCAATGTTTGGACTACTTTAGTCGACTAGACTAAGACAACAAGTCAGTGAAATCCACAGACTAAAACTCGACAAATATTCTACACATTTTTGGAAAACGGCGATTTGCCCATGGTGCGGGCTTGCTCTCTAACAAACAAGGTTGCACTTCCCTAAAAGACTGCCAAATGTATAAGACATTTTTATGTGACACTGGCAGCACAATCGGATTATAATTTAGGCAACCCTCCCCCAAGACACATCACAGCACCCTCTCACTCACTGAGCACGATCGACATTCGCGAATCCTGGCTTGCTGTGCGACGTACCTTTGCTGACCGTCGCACGCCAAGGCCGAAGAGACCTGACCCTGCAAACTGTCCATGATGTTATCTTGAGAGTAAAGCTGCATGGGCGAGTTAAATTGCGCGTGGAAGACCTTCATGCCAGGCACCTCCACCTCAATGGGTTTGTTTGGTGCGGCCCTGGCCATGTCCTTCAGATCTTGAGGATTCACGCTAAGCAGGCTGGTCACGGACGGGGTGTTGCGACCACTGGACGAGGAGGGCACGGCGTGGCTAACGTAGGGCTGGATAAACTCGACTGGGGGGAGCGAAGGGGTGCTACGTTCACTTGAGGGCACCGGCGTGACATGCCCGCTGTCTACGGAGGGCGGAGGGGTAACAGTTCTGCCGCTGCTTTGTAAAAAATGGATTTGCGACACGTGTTGGGGACACCAAAGAGAAAGGCGTCGTGGAACGAGATCACGAAAGCAAGAAAGTGAAGAAAAGTTGAAAAGGAATAAAGGAGAGGAGAAAATAGGGGGAAAGGGACAGAAAACAGAAAGGACAGAGAAATTAGATTTCATCGAGTTCATTTGGAAAAAATATTGAAAGTACATAAGTTGACAATGCAACCGTTAAACGTTAATCTAATTATTATATACATCTACACGTTGAACTGGGCATTAATGTAAAGACGACTTTAAGACGACATTTAAAAGATGACATTGTGGTATAGGATTACATTTAACTTATTTAAATTCACACTATAGTTGGCATGTGTCAAGTAGCCAAACAACTAATTATACAAATCAACATGTGAACGATATAACTATTGTATCTAAGCTATGTCATTACTCCTGATACATCTGCATTGAAAACATAACCTATAAGAGGACAAATATTTTCACCCAACAATCAATTTTTGCCAATCATCTGCAACCACAGCAGGAAGCTACAGACATCAAACAGAAGGAACGTTTGACATAGCGCTCGGCTAGGAGACAAAACGACCCAGGCAAAACAACTTCTAATATTGATTGCAAGCATTGTATATTATTTTGTTTTCATGAATTTTGTTAAATGCCCTCTCCCACGTCTTTTCCCGTTTCTTTTGTTCCTCTTCCCTTGCCCTCTTCCCCATGCAACAGCCTACGCTCCCGCTCGCGGTCAGCAGCGGGGCAGCGAGTCCAACCTTCTCTCCCCTTCCCAGAACCCAGGAGCACCGAGTTCGGGCTTTGGTCCGCAACATTTCTCTACCCCCTCCCCCCCTGTTACATTCTGTGCCTTGTATCGGGCTCTTGTTAAAGTATATATATATAAAGATTGTTTGCAAGCAGATTCACATTCACACAACGTTGTAAGGAAGCAGTCGAGCGAGACCTGGGAGGAACGTAGGGCTTCGGCCTGGCATTGAATTTGTGCTCAAAGTAGTCTTCATCCTGGCGAGAGAGAGAGATACGACTAGGAGAAACAGAGCAACAGAACAAGGTGAAGGAACGTGAACATCTTTGAGAACCAAAACAAGGATAGGTGAAGGAGATGAAGAGGAGAGACGTTAGCCATAGTGGCAAACCGCAGATGGCGCAGGATAAACGTTGCAAAAGAGTATCTGCACACGAGAAAGTCGAGGTCGGGGTAAGAAATGAGGAGGAATGATAAAAGGTGGAGCATGGGAAAATAAATATAGAAATTGGTTTTCAGGAATCATTTGATGACGACTCGGACTGAATGTTGCCATCATCAATCATCAATCGAGAAGAGGTTCTCGATTTAATATAAGTTTTTCATATTAGTTTCAGTGCCCTCATGTAATGTTTACTTTGAGGCACTGCCATCTTTGTTGTAGAATACTCTAATTTAATTCATGTCAGCAGCTCTTCTATTGAAACTTTAAATCAGTAGGTGCCATCCGATTACTTTTAATCACATTCTCTAAACGTGTCCACACCTACCGTATGTATGTATACGTGACGACACACTTGCTGCAACTTGATTAGTATGCAGAGAACTGATAGCAGGCACAGTCTCGTCCATGTGTACGTGCCAACAATAATACCACGAATGCACGTGTTTAACCTTCTTACATATGAATGCCAGATCTCGATGTTCTAGCTGGTCAGATTCTAAGACGCCCAAAAGTGTTTAAGTTTTGAATAAAGTTCATAAAAATATATATTGCTGTAGTATTATCTTACCAACATGCATTTTACCGGGAGATATCCGATATAAAAGATCATACAATGCCCATTACCACACACTAACAATATATAGCCATGACGGACACATTTATAGACTCTTAAATCACTGCCAACACAAAAATGTTAACATGAAACACGTGTCGAAAATACTTTAGTCAAAACACACTTTGGGTAAGTTCAGACAGGGTTAGTTACGCTTAGGTCAGGGGTCACAAAACAAGGTATATGTAACTATAATCTTTAATTCCTTACTATATTTTAGTCGTGGAATGTTGGTTCTTTTAACATACTTTAATATATATTTACACTGGATGTTACCGAACAAATCCTGTAGTGGATTCTTTGAAATGTAAACATCGTGGTGTCTAGGCAGCACAGAGGCCAGAGTGCTGAACCAGCACGACAAAGAATCTGGGTTCGAATCCAGACAGCCACTCATTATTAAAGCATGTTCTCAAATCGAGCGAGTTGGTCTCATGACGACATGAAGAAAACAAATATCACATTACATCTTGTTATTTGTTTTACCTTATTGGGCTAAAATCAGTTCGACTGGCACATACTGAACATTTCTCTGTAGCAGGATATTTGGGGGAGTTTGACTTCCCTAGCGTGCAAATAAAAAGTGTGATTAGAAGGGATCTTAGAAGTTCTCTGACATTTCCTTTTGTGGGCCACCCTCCCACACGGAGTTATGCACTGCTGGCAGAGTTATGAATGGACACTTCTCTTCATGGCATGACACAGATAGCACAATTGGTATTAAATTGTGAAAAAGACATACACACAAAACCACGTAATTTGCTTGTCTGAAAAGAGTAAAAGAAAACCTGTAACACATTCAACACAATACTTTTCCTTAATAAACCAGCTCACGGTGGTATTAATTAATTAATCAAGGACAATTTTTTTTTTACACAAACCACCAGTTTGGATAAACAGTCGTTAGGTGGTAGCTGCCATTTGTTACATTTGCTTTGGAGAGAGACAGAGAGGAAACAATAAGAACGAAACCCAAAGCAACTTTATAGGAAGACACATACGGGGATCTGCTGGCCGGTGGTGCGACGGCACACTGCGTCTGCAGAGCGTGGTGCAGGTTATCGGACGAGTAGAGCCCCGCCGGGTTGTTGTATTGGGGCCCAATCACCTTTGGGGCACTGCCCGCGGGGGCAAAGGGTGCCGGCTTGCGGTTGTGGCCGACGCCAATCGGCTTGACTTCCTGCGGATTTGCGCGAACCAACATGCACGGGGCAAGGCTCACATGCCAGTGGCAAGCATGCGCGCGCACACACACACCCACAGGCATGCAAACAGACCTGCCAACCGACTGTCTCATGTCAGAGAGTACGCCAAGCGGCCGTGCTGCCCTTGCGCTGTTGTGGCTCTTGTTTTCACTGCACCGAGGCCCCAATTAGTGGCAAAGTTTAGCTTTCAATGTGTGGACGATGGTGCTTTGTCTGCAGTCAACACTGTCAACTTCACAATCAATCACCGCCAATCCATCTCCAGTATCTATGAGCGTAACTTTGTCAAAAGTCTTATACGTGATAGGAAGGATCTTGAGGTATCAAAGATGCCAAAGCGATTATATTTGTATTATACTTATAGGTTGTTCACCAATTAAAATTATATCACCAATTTAGCCATGATGAACATTGTATTTGTTTATATATGCATTTCCACAATTAATACATTAGAACTGTAAAAAGATTTTTACAAATCACAGACGCCCAAGCTTAGCTTTGAAGCAAAATAAGGGACGTATTATGATCCAACATCAAAACTAATTATATTGGTCACGTATGAAATGCAAATAATAGTTTTCACAAGAGTGAATGCACTGGCTTTTTGTCTTTCCGTTTACTGCTAAAATACACGCGAGGTTTTCATTCACAACCTGCCACTCCGTCCAATTTACTTTGACGTCTGTCTTGAATGAGGCCAGGATGATACCATAGGCCTGCAGGCAGCATAACGCCATGGCTGCACTGTTTGGACATGTTATAATTGGCCTAAATACGGTTTGCACCTGTGTTGGCATTTTGTATTAAAAAAACAACTTGTACAAACCCAGGTACCACAACCAATGCCTCCCATAACCACAATATCATTATGATGACCATCACAAATTAAAACTCTCCATAGAAACAGCTTTTGAAGTGTTCATTAATAATCTATGGAATAGTATTGGGTCCAATATGAATCCTTATTTTAGTTTCATATATAGTGCCGTAATTTATCCTGTACTCATTCCATCAGAATATTTAGCAAATTGGCAAGTCTGTATGAAGCTATGCAGTTTTACACCATTCTTTACACAAAGCAATGCATTACACTTTAGAGCATTCCCTGAAACTGCAGCAGAAATAATTCACAAGTAATGTATGGGTTATGAACACATGTACACACCACTCATGAGTCTTACATTCTTACCACACATCTATAGTCAATGTTACAGCCATGCAGTGCTGTTTTAGACCTGCACTATTGTGTAAAATATAAAAAATACAGCTTAATTTTTTTTATTGTTACTACTGAACTATATTAATAAATGTTGTAGTTATCCATTCAACAAACAGGGAAGGATTTATTAGAAATATTTTATTTATTAATTAGCTAAATACTTAAGTTGAGTTGTTCGTACAATCACTAGTATCAAGACAGAAATTATAAAACACAACCACAATTATAAAAGCTTAACAAAATATGATTTATTTAATCTGCAGCATTTGGTAAATGCTTACACTATAAGTAAAACTCTGCTCTGTATCTCCTCATATAAAACCATATTTTTTGTTGTCCATGGTAATCAAAGTGGTTTATAGTGCATTTTTGTAAATTGGCATAACTTCAAAGCATAGGGTATGACCAGAGGAACAAAAGCTTGTAGAATTATTGAATTTATTTAAAGCTGAGCAAAATTTTACACAAAGAGCACTGACCCAAGCAAAACAAAAAAGATACCTGGATATATGTAACTATATGAATGGATTAAAAGCACAGTTTTTAAACTACAACCAGTAAATTGTTTACATATTCGAGAACCGTTTCTGAAAATTAGGAACCCGTAATTGTTTACAGTTTAATTTTCCATAACGAATGCACCGTTTGGCGCACGCGAACGAACAAACGGACATGTCGGCCTTTCCACTCTCCTCTGTCTCGTGCTAATATGCTCAAGTAGTGGCTTCCACATCTTCCTGGCACCAATCTCTTATTATTATTTAGCTTCTTGGTTCTTTCGATAAAGTCACGTAGAAGGGAAATAATAAAATAAAACACAATAAAATAATTCTCACGACAGCGCTGTCTTTCCGACAGACCTGTTCTTCACCTGAGAACAGCCGCTTGCGTTGTGGCCGAAACGTCGTGAGAATTATTTTATTAGGTTTTATTTTTATTATTTTATTATTTCCCTTCTACGTGACTTTACCGAAAGAACCAAGAAGATGAATCCCTGCAGTCACGAAAGCTTGAAATCGTTATTATTATTTCGACAAGCCATTCTCTGTTAGGTCTTCCTCTCTTTCCGGCTCCTTCCATTTTTTCCCAAACAAACAACGCATTTTTAATTTTCCTGTTGCTGCCCATTCTACACGTGTCCAAATAGTGCCAGTTTACTTCTCATCACGACCTGCATCAGGTCTTCTTCTCGCTTCTCACTTAAAAGATAACGGTGCGACCTTGAAGCTGCTTGCTTGTTTGCATGCTCATTCGCCACTGCGGGTGGGTAGGCAGATTTGATCAACTCCTCTCTGTCGATCGGATATCTTGGAAGAGGTGGATGTCTAGCCCCACTTTATCCCACCACATACCAGCTGCCAATAGACTGTCCTCTTAGCAGTCTAAATGTGTAAGCAACAGAGGTGGGGGGGGGGGGGGATTTAATAAATTTGTGCCATATCACTGTGGCAACTGCCTTCGTTTCTCAGTTGTAAAGATCGATCATGTTACTGCTTAAGACATATCCATGTACGGAAAAGACATTAGCCTATAGCGCCCTCTGTTGAGAACACAAGCCCTACATTGCATGCTTTTACATTCAGAAGCATTTTCCAATACATATTGAGATTAGAAAGAAAAAACAAGCCACACGAAGCATACACGTTAAGATGTTAAATAATGTAATAAGCTGAATTTTAATACCGGGCCTTACCTGTGAATTGAATAATGGTCGATGCAGTTTTCAAGATCCAGTGCTTACCTTTGGTACTACAGTAAACGTACTTTTCAAATAGTTAAAAGAAAACCTCCGCAGATGGCTTACCTGTGGTTCGGAAGCCAAATTAACCTTGTAGGGGTGAACCTTGCCTTCCTCCATCACATTTGGCCTCCACAGAGTTGTTTGAGGCCTACACAAGGAACAAATGTAAGCACTTGATTTAGCCTACATCCTGAAAGAGATGAATAATAACACAGTATGTTTGTTGAACTTCTTTCGCACCCTACGTAGCCAACCGTGCTCATCGGAGGTGCGGGGTAATGACAACTAAACACAAGAAGTAGTTCTAAAGAAATTAGCTTTCAATCTAGATTTAAAAGTGCATATCTCCAATGGCTTCCTTATATCGGAAGGAAGAGCGTTCCAGACCGCCACAAAAGCGTAATAATAATGGCAAATGTTTATCCAGGTAAGACTCGCCGAGTCCTAAGACACATCTTCAAGGTCCTGTGTTTAACATTATACAAATTAAGGTAACATCTGACATTGTTATATTGTATCATTCCCCATTTAATACAAATGCAGAATGCGTAATGAAAATCTACACGTAGAAAACCCAACAGGGGTATAACTTTGGTAATGGCTGGATAAAATTGTAAATGACGTGATGAAAAAAGGCAACACACAGCCAATCCACTGCTGAATGAAGGACCTCCCCAGGCAGTGTTTGACATGAGGGTTGTTCGATCATCCATTACCAGTGGTTTGTGAAAGGAGGGCACCTCCCCCAGGACTGGTTCAGATATCGATAGCCACTAATAATAGCTGTGGCCAGGAACAAAAAACTACAGCGCAGTGTGCTGGACTCAAGGCGCATAACAACTGTATCACTGTTCAACTAACCCCAGCCGTGCATATGCATACAACTGCACAGAGAGGCACACACCACAAGGAATACAGAGTTCTTGAAACACTTTAGCAGGTCACCATGTATTGCGCTATTAATAAACAAATGAGCAACACACCACCAAGCTTTAATCTCTGCAATGAGGGACTTTGCTATCCAGTCAAGGTCAAATATGTGTTTAGATGTATTTTCAATTTATAATGCTAACACTACCAAGGTCATTCATAATTGTTTACACAGTTTTCATTTTGATTTGCTTGGATAAAATTATGTTAATCCAGATCTCGCATGATCTGCTGAAAATGACTATACATTGTCAAAAGCATAAATAGCAATCATTCTTGGCAGAAATAAAAAAAATCAAGTAGGCTTCCCCCTTGATTAATTTTGTAACAAAAATGTTTTGCCTTGTTGCAACACAACCCTCTACTAATTTTTTTTTAATCTGGATAATATTTACAATGGTCATGGTGCCCCCAGAATGATTGCAGCCGAATGCATAATAACCGCTTTAAACCTTAGTGAGAAAACACAGAAATTTAGAGAGTTGTATTAATTTGTACCGAGGTTTGACTGAAAAGAAACACACGTGGGGTTTGGTCGCTGGAAGGTTGGGCGTTTGCAAGATTCCATGATTATGACGATGACATTCGGAGGGAAGAGAAGTGGTTAACGACAATCTAACAGTGCTATGATACGAGGCCGAGGCCAGGCAAGGCCAGGTGAAGTGCTGGATTGTTCCCAACTGTGAAATGTCATGATGTTCATATTCTAATCAACATTGTGTGCAGCTGCAGACGACATTTGCCTCGGAGACGCTGGTCGGCTGTGATGCGGGAGCCTCTCTGGAATTGCGTGCCAAGCATTAGGTCATGCTTTAAGGATTTGGCAAACAACCCAGGGGTTTGATTAGTTGCAGGTGGCAAGAGCCAACGGTGGTGGGCTGTGATGTGTGCAATGTTAACAGCATTCAGGTCGAGATGTGCCCCGATTATGTATCAGGCCTATAATCCTGCTTGGAACCTGGACAAGCATGCACACGATAAAATGGTGAACCCTTTGAAATGGAGCTTACATCGTGTGCAGTTTCCAAAAATGAACTGGATCAATGTGCATGTCTTAAAATATTAATTACATGAAATCAGTGATAAGATGTATTCGAAAAAAAATTGTCTGAGGTAAATCCTTTCAAAATGACGTGGATAATGTGCGTGATTGTATTTGCAATCCACGGTAAACATTGCCATATTTGTATAGGGGCAAAAAGCCTTTCTGAACTGGTAACCATAAACTAGCTTCTAAATAAAATCACGCTTAAAAGTTATCGTTACTTACAAATATTCGTGTTAAACCTCACGATGGGAAGCTCAACGAATTGCGCTCGCCACTGCTCCACCTCAGCCATATACCGTGCCCCATGTCACTCCACTGCTGGATGAGGGCCTGCCCAAATCACGCAGATCATGTAGGGTAGTTGACCCATAACTTCACCGTGTTGGTTATTGCGGGTTGTAAGGGTGCATGGAAGAGATTTGGGAGCACAGAAGCACAGTGCAACTACGTATTTTTCCGCACTGCCCTCTTTTCTACCAAACATCCTCCGTTGCCAATAGCCAATCACGGCCTTAAATTCATGGTGATCGCCCATCCAAGCACCATCTCGGTTAAACAATGCTCACCTCTCGACATCGTCTCGGGTGAGTTGGACCAATGGCCATATGCCGCATATAAGTTATTTCTAAATATAGATCAAAATGCAACAAATCAGGGTAAATTAATACACACGAACTATCACGTATCACAGAGCTTAAGCGCCAGGATTGATGGCAGCTTTACTTGGGTGATAGAAGAGTTTCAGCGTGCCCTTAAAAAAGAAAACATGACAAATTGCTTGATATCCTCAACTCCGTGTCATGCTGTGGTTCCCTGTGCTGGATTTCAAAGCAGAATCCGCGTGAAATCAGGGCTTGCCAAGACGTTGCTCGGCTTTAAAATACAAATGTCCATATCGTCCGCGAAGTATTATCCATAAATCTACCGTGCCATCCAAACCCACGGTAACATGTGAGGTCTTGTTTTTATTTGACCTTAATGACATTTGCCGACATATTTTCTTATTATTGAGCTATTAAATATAATAATAATAAACTTTCCAGCCTACTGCAATAATACATTAATCAACATTATCCATCCCTTCCGTTAGCTTTGTAGTGATGGTGGGGCTGAATAACAACCCACCATGGTGTTATTTATTTAGCGAGAGTCACTGGTTTAATTCAATCTCAATCCCTTTTCTTCTTGATCCTTTACCACTACATTTATCTACCTGATTTTCTGTCTTCCCTACTCATATTCCCTGTGTGTTCCATTGCCAGGTACAGCATCCTGTCCAGGTGGATTCTCGTAACATGTCCGACTAGCGGCACACCTCTTTTCTTTCACCTGATCTAATAAAGTTGCTTTCACTCCTACGTGTTTTTATTGCAACAATATGAAGGCTGCAGAGACTGTAAAATAACAATATAATTCGTGAATAATAACATTCAAAACATATATGTGTGTGTGTGTGTTGGACTTCTTTCGTGGGGGAAGGACAACAAACTAAACACAAACATTTTGTTGTATCATTTCGTATTGCTTTGACCAGTTCATTTTTGTGTAAACAACTATCCTGTGCTGGAAAATATGGATACATCATGTATCTGTATTTAGAAAAATAAGATGCACAAATGTGAAAAACAACACGATTGATTTACCTGATATAGTTACCACCAGGCCATTTTTATAGCACCATGCCATACTTAAATTTTAAATCTCTGCAGTAGAGAGCCCATTACATACACCCTTAGGTATTTGTATGTGCAGCACAGTGAGCCAAGGCAAGTGGTATTCCAAAGGGAGAGTTCACTAGATCACAGAGATCTACAACACGGACCAATATAGGCTTAAAGGGGGAAGACCTGTAACCCAAGCCATACTCTAATCCAGCACCTCCCCCACCCACCAGTTCACCCCGATGAACCTGTGGCTCAATAATCAGTTCAGAGACAACAACACGAAAGGGTCCACCTTACATTTAAATACGTTAAACAAACGTGAACCTTTCACTTTTAAAAATATATCTCCAACATGTATGTAAAAGTTAAATAAATAATAAAAACTGACATTGTCACTTTGCACGGCAGTGAAATAGTGAAGCGAATGCTGTCGTTTAGACGCAAGGGAATCAACCCAAGCCCAATGGACCCCAAAACGCATACAAAACACGCAGCAGAGCATTATAAACACTACAAATTATTTGATATAAACACAGTCCTTAAATCCTCAGGCTAATAAAACACTTCTCAACAAATGATTTAGTGAAGCTACATTGGCGGCGGTGCACGAGCACCATTAACAAAATACGCTGCCTGAAAATAAAATATAACTGGCCACCTTTCGGGAAATTATCCTTCAACGCACATCATAATTTAACAGCCACAACGGTAACATCTCTCTTGTCATTGTAAAAAAAGGCACGGGTGGAAATGATGTCAGGTGTAAAAATCCCATCGTTGTTGACTTTCCCCTGATAACCCTAACAAGTGCTGCCTACATGCAGTGTGTGCATTACGCAATATCGACCAAATTAATGGGACAATTTAAATGCACTTAACAAGCGGACATAATTTGGAGTGTGACAGCTCTTTCGACATGTTCTGTGACCCAGGCAAGCGTTTTGCACTTCATGCGCTCATGTTATGTTGTTATTGGGTGTCCATTAACAAACTGGCATACAAGAGATACAGTTCAGCTAGTTGCATTTTTTTATTCACTTTAAATAACAAAACAAAACTCCTGTACCAGATAGCTTAACTGTGGACAGTGATTTAAGAACATAAATAAATCTGCAAAGTGGAACTCAAGATGAATGACAAAAACATACAAGAAATGTCCGAGTGATCAACTCCAGTTATCGAGTTGGTTGAAGCCAATTGCCCAGCGAGTGTTAGGGTAGTTGTACAGAAACAGTGCCTCTCTGTATTAGTACTTAACCCATCCCAATTGTGCAATACCTTCAAGGTAAGAGTTGCTCTTCATTGGTTTGGACATTTGTATTTAGATACTTATTTGTTGAATTTAATATACATATGACAAGTCTATTTTATTTATTAGTCTATCAACTTATTATTTTGTATTTGGCTAGTATATATTTCCACGTGATAAGCCACTTCGTTGTGCTATCATTGTGGCCAGGTCGCTTCTGAAAAAGAGCCATGCAGCTCAGTGGGGCTTACCTGGTA